CAACATTGTTCAGAAGTATAAGTCCAGAGTCGCTAGTGAAACTCAAGACAACCTCTTAGCTGTGAGCCCATATAAAATCAGAAGCAAGTTACATACGTCCAAGATACAGTGGCACAGAATACACATTCCTATTCCAAAAGGAGGAATGGGACCAAAGCAAGACCAAAACTCAGCAAGGCAAACATTATTCCATGTGTGGCAACTGGGACATGAAGTGTGATGTGAGCTCCAAAGGGCTTGGGCAGCTCAGCCCCTATGGCTTTGTGAATGGCAGCCCAGATGGCCTCTCTACTGGGCTGGCTCCTGCAGCTTTCCTGGACAGATGTCCCACACTCTTGGCATCTCAGTCTTCCTGAACCTTCCTCTTCACCCTCACAGCATCATGCTTCACTCTCTCAGGGGCTGCCTGCAGGGAGTCCAACCATGTCATCTATTGCCTGGCCTCCCTGAGTCTATGTGGAGGCCTTCTGACCTCTCAACTCTTATATTCTACAGGCCTGCAAAAACAGCATCAATAGAATGATGCCTCAGTCTGCTGCTAGCTTGGTCAGTAGCCCAGTCCCCTTGTGCCTTGACTGCAATAACCTCTGAATGCTGAGGCAGCTCAACATGGGAAAACACTTCCCTAAACAGCCCTGGGCATGCAGGGTACCCTGGCACTCTCTGCTCAAAGCAGTCAATCAAATGAGTTAAAACCTTTACATCCCTTATCCTGATGGGTGGAATCTGGTCAATTCCTGAGATGCCCTAAATGCATCTTTCCTATTGTCCTGGTGCAAAGTACTTAATTTTTTTTAATAGCTTAATCTCTTTAACAAACACCCCCTCTTTATCTGCAACTTGAAACTACTCCTTTTCTGGCCAACCTGCATATTTTTTTTCAAATCTTTGCAGATTTTTGCACCTGACTGTCATTGTAAACCTGTCTGAAAGCAGCCAACAGTACCCATGCCACAGTCTAAATGCTATGTTATCCTGAAATTTCCTCCACCAAATTAATTATTGCATAATTTTTAAGTTCAACCTCCCACAAAGTCTGAGTACATGGACAAAACTTAGAGGTATTCTTTCCCAGAATGTAACATGGTCTCTAGTCTAACCCCCAATAGAGCCTTCCTGAATCTGTTGTAGTCTTTGTGGTCTCTGATCAGAAGATTCCCAAATTCTTTGCATCCCACATGGAAGCATCCAGGCAGAACATGTGGATGTAAGTAAAGGAGGTAATAGAGTTTATTAGAAATAAGGGAAAGGCATTACAGAAAAGCAATGGTGGCCCCACCTGGCCAGGTTGGTCAGGTGGGATGGAAGCAGGAAGCAAGAGAGAGTTCTTACAAAGTGTTTTTAAAAGATCGCTCTAGCCTGTGGGAGGAGTAAAACCTGAGCAGTTCTTAATCAACAATAATTGATGAGTGGAGGGATTTGGGTGGTTCCCCAGCTAGGATTTGAGCTGTCCTCTGGTTAAGCTGGCTAGGGTGTGAATAATCCGCACATATTTGCAATGGAGAAGGAGGAAGAGGAGGAGAGAGGGACATAGGGAGGGAGGGAGGGAGAGAGAGAGAAGGTTCAATCTGAAATACAATGTTAAATTGTATATGTCTTTACCATCCTCATTTCTATCAGCATGCTGGGCTGTGAGCTCCCATCACAATCAGAATTGCCCCTTAAGCTCTGCTTATAGCATTCTAGAACTCCTCTGGCCTACTTCTCCAAACACCTCCAAATTCCTCCCCTATACCAGTTCCAAAGGCTTAAGAACCACATAGCCAGGAAATCCGGCAACAACTCTGTCTCTCTGGCACCAGTTTTCTGTGTTAGTTATTTTTGTGTGTCAGCAGCCAAGATACCTGAGACAGAAAAACTTAGAGAAGGAAGGATTTATTTCCACTTACGATTTCAGAGGTTCAGTTCACGGTTGCTTAGCCCCAGGCCCTTGGGTAAAACATCATTGTATAAGGAGCACATGGAGGAGGAAGCTGTTCACCTCGTGGTGGACAAGAAGCAGAGAGAAGAAAGGGCTGGGGACCAGCTTCAAAGGCGCACCCCTAGTGACCCACTTCTTCTATCTAGGACCCAACTCCCAACGTTTCCACCACCTTCAAAACTAGCACCACGAGCTGGGGACCAAGCAATCAACACATGAGCCTGTGGGGGACTTTTCATATTCAAATCATAACAATGATGTTTTAGAAAATACACTCAAAATCTTACTACCCTTTAATAGTCTCTTTTAATATTTTCTTCCAGGCTTTATTCATAACCTTTTTGTATTCATGTGCTTTTTTATTTTGTAAAGTAAGATTATTCTATATAACCTTTTTAAATAGTGTGCTTTTTCACTTAACCATATGTTGTAAGTATCTTTCCTTTTTAATAAACATATATCCCTTTTGCTGGCTGGCCAGTAGATGAACCAGATGGATCCAACTTATTCCCTTGTTAGCCACTTTAGGCTGCTTCCACTTTTTTTTTCCTTTTGGAAAAAATATAAAGACCAACTGTTTCCACATGTATTGTGATTTGAGCTCCCACTTGCTTAGGCAGTTTTATTTTGTGCACTTCTTTTATTCCCTTTGCTTGTTAGCTTTTTGCTATTGTGACAAAATGCCTGACATAAACAACTGAAAGGAGAAAAGATTTCTTTGGCTCATGGTTTCAGATGTTTCAGTCCATGGGCATCTGGCTCCACTGCTTTTAGGCTTGTGGCAATGTAGAGACATCATGGGGGAAGGGCATGGTGGAAGAAAGCAGCCAGGAAGCAGAGAAACAGAAAACAAGAGCCCAGGACAAAATATGTCCTTCAAAGACATGCCCTCAATATCCTACTTCTCCAACTAGACCCCATTCCCTAGTTTCAGTTACTTCCTAATCATGCCATCAAATTATGAACCCATCAGTGATTACTCCACTGCTGAAGTAAGAGCCTTCATGATCCAGTCACTTCCCAGAAGCCCATCAGCTGGCAATCACGTCTTTAACAACATGAGCCTTTGGGGCCATTTTATATGTAAAATATACATTCCCTAAAGAGAAACTCATAGACAAGAAATTGCTGGGTCAAAGGGCACAAGCTGGTAAAAATCTTGCCTGGTCTCTAAAATACTGACCCCTCCTGAAGCGCCGGGCAGGCAAGTCAGGTCTCCTCACTATTTGCCATCTCTGTTAGTTTGCCCTTAACAACTTACCTTGGCAAAGGCCATTATGGGATTTCTCTGAAGGTCAGTTTGGCAGTAAATTTGCCCTGATAAAACAGTGTCCTGGGCCTGCAAGGACAAACAGATCAGAGCTGGGGTGGGGGGGTGAGGGGCAATATAGACTGGCTTCTGCAGCAGATTGCCAGTAAGCCAGGAGATAGCCTTACCCTGGATCTATCACAGAGAAAGCTCATGCAAGAGTATAGACTGATTCTTGAACTTGAGCCCATAAGATCCCCAGATACACACATAGCCGTTTCCACGGGTGCACACAGAGGGGCATCCACCAACCCTTGCATGGATATGCAGGATCTGATTGGGTAGCCTTACACATGCTTCCTCCCATTTCTCTTCACAGCCTAATCTAGGCCTGCCTTAGGGGGGTAGGTAGTTTCCCTCTGTTTTTTAATGGCCACCTCTTCAAAGAGCGGCCCAATCTCCTAGAGAGAGAGAATGAAGGAAGTGCTAAGGGAGTGAGCCATGTAGCCTTTAGAACAGAGCAAGAGGAACCCTGCCATATTGCCTGTACTTCAGAAGGTCCCTCTATGGCCTTCTTGCATCCGTGCCCCTCTCCACAAGGTAAGAACCACCCCCAAGCCACAGGGACATGTCCCCTCAGAGCCCTGGCCTTCCTTTCAGATCATGCTCCAGAGACCTGGGACCCTGGAATGAGTCCAAGGCCTACATGGGCCACCTCCCTGTATCACCCTCCCCAGAGTGAGAGTGGACCTCACACTGATGTTCACACCCCTAACTGGTGAGGTGGCCAAGGGGCAGCTTTAGAGGAGTGTGGGTAGGATTTGGATATGCAGGCTGGAGTGTCCCCTCACAGGCCTGTGAGGGCCCTCACAAAGAGGTGGTAAGAGGAAGGGGACATAGTATAAACTTGAGAGAACAGCGCTCCCCAGGTCACCACACTTTGGCATAGAACTCACAGTAGTCTAATAAATTTAAACCTTGTCCTCCAGTTAATTTGGAAGGTCTTTCAAGGTAGAAAAATTACACATTGCATTTTAATGATTCGTTAGTTTGATTTATAAGTTTTAAATATTTAGACACATGATAGGCGAGCCTCCAGTTGTCCTCTTGTCCTTGGCCTGCAAATGTTCAGAGAGGGGCTAAAAGAGGCTTGCAAGGCTAGAGCCAATATTTTATTGCAGAGGAAAAATGAATGTAGGCCTGTGGCCAGGCATGGTGGCACACATCTCTAATCCCAGCTACTTGGGAGGCAGAGGCAGGATTGCAAGTTTGAGAAGAGCCTGAGCAATGTTAGAGAGACCCTATCTCAAAAACAAAATAACAGGGCCCAGGGCATGGCTCAAGTGTTAGAGCACTTGCCTGGCAAGTGCAAGGTCCTGAGTTCAAGCCCCAGTACTGCCAAATAAAGGAAAAGGAGGATGAAGAGGAGGGCGTGGAGCAGTAGGAGACAGAAGAGATAGGCTGCCTGAGTTCAAATTTCAGGCCCACTGAGAAAAGGAAAAGAAAAGAAAAGTCAGGTACTGGTGGCTCATTCCTACTTGGGAGGCTGAGATTGAGAGGACTGCAGTTCAAGGCCAGCCCCGACAAATAGTTTGCAAGACTTCATCTCTAGAATAACCAGAACAAAATGGGCTGGAGGTATGGCTCAAGTGGTAAGAGAGTCTGCTTTGTGAACTCGAAGCCCTGAGTTCATACCCCAGGTCCCACCAAAAAAGAAAATGAAGAAGAAGTTGGGTTTGTGAGCTAAGATAAGGTGTGCTCTGAGCCCTGCCATGGACAGGCCAGGAGCCCTGCGGGAGCTGCTGGAGAATGATGTCTCTGCCTTTTCAGATCACTTTCAGGAAAGACCACCTTGAGGCCTGCCTCCTATCCCTGGGTTGTGATGTAATGGCAAGAGAACGTAGCAACTTTGAGACCTACTCCATGTGTTATGAGCACCTGTTGCAGCATGCCAGACAGAGGCTCTGCCAGAAGGAGCAGGTAGGTGCCCAGAGAGACAAATGTAGTAGAGGGAAAGGAGGTGTGGACAGGGAAGCCCAGGAGCCATTCACAAGGGATTGGGGGAGGGATAAAGGAGAATGATGGAGGGAGTGAATTCAACTATGATATATTGTAAGAACTTTGATAAATGTCACAATGTCTTCCCAGTACAACAATAATTTTTTTGAAAAGATTTTTTTAAGGGGGGTACACAAAAGAAAGAAAAACTGAGCAGGGATGGCATGGGGAGTGGTTTTTATTCCAGAATTGAGAGAGAGAGTCACCTTCCAAATTTCTCTTCCTATTGGCTCATTTTCTTAGACTCTGGGATTCTGTTGCAAAGGGGATGGCCCAAGCAACAATGGGTTGTGTGCTTTGGAGGACATGGTGGGGAATGCAAGACGTAACCAAGAAATAGGCCTTTGAGGAAGGGACATGGGTGACCTTCCTTCCCTCAGCAAACACAGGCACCTTGTACTGTTCCTGGTTTAGCAAAGAAGCCAGGGTCCTTTGAGAAAACTGTCTTCAGGATGCATATTATGGGCCAGTCCCGGTGATAAGACCTCCTTAAAATCAGATCCCACGGGAAGGACCCAAGACTCTCTTCTCCTGTCTTGATGCACATTTTTGTAATACATTGCCTGCATTTTGGTCAATCCCCATAGCCGAGTTCTCTGCATCAGTGTGAATACCTCATGTATGCTGTCTTTTATGCTGTGCTAGAAATTCTAAAGACCAATGGTGACAAGCATAGTCCTGGCTCCAGGTGGGATCTCAAGATGAGGCTCCATTAATACAAATAGGGAGTGTTGGGAACTTACTGTAGTGAACTGAGCTATGGTTGGAACACTAAATGTTTGAGTTGGGTTGTGGACTGCTTTCTCCGCCTCAGGAACTAGAGCTGCTACGAGGAAGTCAAGTTCCATCTGAAGATCACGCTGGTCAGGTAGGTCAGTTACTAAAAAGGTTCTCTTCTCATTCTCACATCCTTGCTCTCAGAGTTCATCAGAAGTGGGTGTATGATTTGTTTGGGTCGTCCGTGGAAGCCCCATCAATAAAGGTCCATGTAGAAACACCCAAAGACACCAGACACTGGTGCCTGTAATCCTAGCTAGTTAGGAAGCAGAGATCAGGAGGCTTACAGTTTGAAGCCAGCCCTGGAAAAATATTTTGCAAGACCCTATCTCAAAAATACCCAATGCAAAATAGGGCTGGCACAGTGGCTGTAGTGGCAAAGTGCCTGCCTAGCAAGCATGAGGCCTTGAGTTCAAGCCCCAGTACTGCAAAAAAGGAAAAAGCAAAAAAGAAACACCCAAAGAGTATATTTTCACTTTGTGTAAGCAATCCTACGGAGGGCCATTTTTTGTGGGAATTGTGTTATTTTCTATTGTTTGGGGAGGTTGTTATTTAGAGGAATTTTCTGGTGGTTGTTTCTTTTCTTACAAGGCCAGTTAAAATGCACTCCAAAAACAAAACAGTATTTGGGCTGAGGTATCAAGGGAAGGCCAGTTTGGAGATGGAGGTGAGGACAGCTGAAGTATTTTTTTTCAGCTGAAAGTACCTCCATGGCATTTCTTTTGGCGTCACTCATTCAGCAACCATTTACTGATGGTGTACGCCGTCTGTGACCTTCAAACCAGCCTATGATTCTTCTGCACACATTCATACAACAGGATAGTCACTCTCTTTGTTAGATTCAAAATGGAGGAGTGAATTCTGTACTCACCTATAAGGAACTGTTTAGTAGAAGCAGTTTGGAATTCCTACATTGTTTTCCTTAATTTTTTTCTGCTACTAGGTTGCAGAACTCAGCCATGATATGATCATGGAAATCACTGCTCTGAGAGCCCAACTCACAGATTTGGAAGAGGAGAATCTGAATCTCAAAAAGCAGATCAGAAAAGAAGTCCAAGAAGAGTATGAAGCATTAGTCCAAGCTTTGTTTATGAACTGTTTACACATAAAAGTAAGTGTCTTGTGTTGGTGTTCTGGGCAGCCCTGTGGCCACACACCAAGGGCTCAGTGACAGAATGGTAACAAGAGAGTTGTGGGCCCAAGAATTTTCCAACTGTATGTTTTTGCTATAGAGGGAGAGAAATAGCAGTGAGTTGTCATTATTCTTCCACGACAGACACTGAATTCTGGATAATTTAGATGTTTATTTTTCACACTGTACTGGTAGTTGCCACTGTTGCCATCTGGTAGCTGTTGGAGGGAGTACAGTCTGCTCAAATTCCTACCACTGTTTATTATCATTATTTCTATTTTTTTTTCTTTTTTGATGGTAGTGGAATTTGAACTCAGGGCCTTGTACTTGTAAGGCAGGTTCTCTATGACTTGAGTCATGACCCTAGCCTTTTTTCCTTTAGGTATTTTTTGAATAGGGTCTCTCATTTTTGTCCAAACTGGCCCAAGCTTTAATCCATCTATTTACATCTCCTGCGTAGCTAGGATGACAGGCACACACCACTATGCCTATCTTATTGTTGAGATTGGGCGGGGGAGGGGGTCTCCCTAACTTTTTTCCCCTGGACTGGCCTTGAGCTCTAATCAGCCTGATCTCCACTTGTTGAGTTACTAGAACTACAGGTGGAGAAATTTCTTAAGTTTCTTTTAGCTTCTGTCTGAATTCTAGATCAAAAGTGGACTCTACTTCTCCCGGGCTAAAGTAGTTCCACCAAGCCTGCCAAAGCAGGGACTCCCTGTTCTACTCCAGGGTCTCAAGGAGATGGTGGAGCTTCCATTGTGTGGCTAGCTACCAGGCTTCCTGCCATGGCTCCCAGCTGGAAATCATCCTCCTGCCTCTTCTCTGGGAAATGGTTCTCACTGCCAGGATGCTGCTCAGAAACTATAGGCCAGGTGGAATAAACAACAGAAATTTATTTTTCTCACTGTTCTAGAAGCTGGAAGTCAAGATCAGAGTGGCAGCACAGTATCTTTCTGGTGAGGACTCTCCTTCTGATTTGTAGACAGCTAGCTGCCTTCGCCCTGTGTCTTCACATGGCAAAGAGAGAGATGTTTGTCTTCTTCTTATAAGGCCACAGTCTTATTGGAATAAGAACCTACCCTTATGACCTCATTTTATCCTTGACTACCTCCAGTGTCTCCATACACTGTCACATTGAGGGGTTAGGGTTTCAATATGTGAATTTGGGAAGAAACACAATTCAGTCCATAGCACGAGTCTGCAGTTATACCTACCATTGATCAAGCTGTTTCATCATAAGCCATTAGCCATAAGCCATTCAGAACAGAATGTTTCATGATGGAGTTTCTGCTGGAGCCTTAATAGGAAGGCAGCTAGCCTGATTCCTTCTTCCACTTATCTATATTTAATGGAGTTCCTCAGTAGCTGTTCATTCACAGTGTCTTGTCAGGTCAGATTCTGAGTCGACCTGGCTCCAAAAATCCTCCTCCAACTTTTGTAAGTAACCCTGCCCAGGGAGCAGTTCAGTCTGCAGATTTTCTCTCTACAACCTCCCACTATTCAATCCACTGTCCTCCCGCTCGACTGGTCTTGGTGTTGACAGGCGAGGCACAGTCTAGGATGTGCAGGTGGTCAAGTGATGAAGCCCTGTGGATTAAAGACCATGCTCAGTGGCCACTAATGTGACTTCCATGATTAACACATGTTGGAAAAATTGTCTGGAAGGAGGACTGTGTAATGTAGAATCACTTTCAAACGATAGGTTGTAGGGCATAATATCTCTTCCTGCCACCCAAACCCATTGTATTTCTTTGACCTGAGTCTGCAATTTGCAGGAGAAGCTGGATGAGAATCAGCTTAATTTGATCCAGAAAGTGTGTGAGCTCATCAGTGAAGTGAGAACAGAAGGGATAGCCAACGTGAAGGAGCTGAAGAAAAAATGGCGCTCTGCCAGGCCTGATGAAGGAATAAAAGAGAATCCAGCTAAAGTATGTGATTTCACTCAACAATGAAATATCAGTGTTTCATGCTTGCATCTTCCCCCTACCCCTGTTTACCCTGTTAACATTCCAGGCTGCTTCTCCTTCCCCTGAGAAAGCATTGCAGAATTTCAGAAAGCATTTAAAGGGGCACGAGCTCCCTGCACAATCGTGACCTCTTTTGGAAGGCATGTTTCTGATGTTAGGATTCATGCCCTTTCCAGAAACAGGGTTGGGGCTAGGCTTTTCTGCAAGTGAACCTTCTTGGCAGGAGCAGCTGCGGGCCTTACAGCAGGACAATGATGACCTGGCTGCCCTGGTGTGCAAAGTGAGGAGCCTAGACCGCTGGCGGCTGGCCGTGCAGCAGGCGCGCTTCCGGGACCAGCTGAGCAGGGCAGAGAAGGTGAGCGTGGGAGGGAGGTGAGGAACTCCCAGGGATGCTCCTGAGCCCGACTGACTACAGCTGCTGCACTGGTGTCAGGTGGCAAGGCCAGCCATGCTGAAGAATCTGGCATTTTTCCTGGGAATAGGCCTTAAGAGAAATCAAAAAGAGGCAGAAGCAACTGGTCAGGGAGAACAGATCAGAGAATGGAGCACAGGAGAAGTGAAAAGATGGAGGGAGATTTTACCAAGGACTTGAGGTTACATTGTCAAAACATACCTATCTGGTTTTCATGCATGATAATCTGAGGGAAATAATAAGTGGAAAATCTGCTATAAAGGAAATTGAAACCAAAGCACATTTTGATGGTGGTTGGAAACTTCCACTTATTGTTTCTGAAGTCTTTATTCACTTGATTTGTCACACTATTCTTAATTAAAATTGCAGGAGCAGTGACCAGCGAGAGCTCCATTCCACAGGAATGATGAAATGGTTCAGATACTGCCTATAAAACTAAAATGTGCAAAGGAACCATTCCTCATCTTGCTGTGTTTGTGATCTTTACAGGAATCTGTTCAAAATAAAAAAGAGTGTCTGAGCATCAAGCTAATGACAGAACAAGAAGTGAGCTTACTTCGTCAACAGTTACGGGCTCTCAGGCAAGCCCTGGCCAGGGCTCAGGCTGATAATACAAGACTGTGGATGCAGCAGAATTCCCAGGTATCTGAGTCTCAGAGCTTCCTCTCTCTCTCAGCTGGCAAAGCTGAGTATGGCCACGTGAAAGGGCACCATGGTTGCCAGGTGCAGTCACCAGAGCTCCAGTATGATGCCCGGCTGAGGGCACAGCCACCGTCCCTTCTTCCTCCTTTCCAGCCTAGAAACAAGGGCAGTAACCCAAAGGTTTTGTCCTTACTCATATTTGGCAATTATGAGAAGATGTTACTCATATGCAAGTTCATTTTCATGTGTGTGTGTGTGTGTGTGTGTGTGTGTGTGTTTCTCTGAGGATCCTTTTACCACAAGATGTCTTGGGACCTAGGCCTGTGCCTTGAAAACAAGCTTTCTGTGGTCCTGGCACACTCTCCATACACAGCAGCCTCTGGCCTGGGAGTGTTGTGGGTCAGCTGGCTGGAGACCTTTTGATCTATGCAGATAGGAATTGTGGGGAGAAGCCCTTCTAGTCCCGGCACCCGTGGGCCCTTGGGTATCCATGGCCCAGGGGCTGAACTTGAGTATTCAAGAGTTCAAGGACCTCCCACCCAAGAGCTTGGGGTTTTAGAAGTCAAAGACCCTCGGCATTCAGCTTGGAGGCTTATCACCATGGGCTTTCCCTACCAGCGGCCTGTCACTCGGCGGCTATTATAACCCGCAGCTTCCAGCAGACAGCAGTAAGCAGCAGCAGGTGCACCTTATAGTTGTTACAGCTCTCATACAGGCTGGAAACTAGAGCCCTCAGTCCCACAGCATGTGTCACAGCTCTCTGATCTAGAGTGTCATGTCAGGATCCTCAGCCCTTGACAGTGGCTGTTAGCAGCTCTCAGGCTTGACCCTTAAGGTTTAGCAGCTCCCTGGAACTCTTCCTGTGACCAGGGCCCATGGTTTCTTGTCTTCGACTTTCATAACCCTCGTCATCTCCTTACCTCTGCTCCCTGTCATTTCTGCCCTGGCCTCTGTCTGAAACTTTCCAGCTGCCCTCTTGTCACTACTGCCACTGTTACTGCTGCCGCCTCTGCCGCTACTGCCATTTCTATTGTTGCCACCACCTTCACTGGCCACCCTTTTTTTTTGCCACTATGGCTTCCCTGCTGTTTCTGCTGTCCTATCTTTGTGTGAGCCGCTGAGCCTGCTCTACCAATGATGCAGATCAAAAGGAGACAAGACAAGACCATTTGACAGAAGTCTTTTGAGGGCCCCATGACGTCATGCCAGGCACCAGCACAGGAATGTAGCTCACACATGGCTGGCTCACAAAGTGAGGGGCTGTGGCAAGGGTGTTTGCACCTATTGTGGCAGACTCCCATGCAAATGAAGGACTGTGTTTGCACCAATCACAGGCCTTCAGCTGGACCGTCAGGGAAGTGCTCCCTCTCTGGCCTGTGTAGAAATAGCTGCAGAGTCACCTAGAGTTTACCAAGGCTTGTGATGGCAATCTGTTGCTAACAGCCATAGTGGCAGTGTGGCTTCCTCAAGGTGTCCATGGAGTACTCAAAGCAATGGCTGGCATGTGGGAAATCCAGCAGGCTGCTTGGAATAGCCCTTCACTCAAGACAGCTGGGGATCCAGACACATGACTTGTGCCTGATCTCCACTTGGGCGGTGGAGATCAGGAGGATCATGGTTTGAGGCTAGCCCTGACAAAAGGTTAGTGAGACCCCATTTCAAAACAATCAATCAAACAAACAAAAGACAGCTGGGATACCAGCCAAATGTCTGTTGATTAGGGAGTTAAATTTCTCCAGCCCCCAAAATCCTAGCTTATTTCAAGGAAAAGCAAACATTAAAAAGGGGTGCTTACAACGAAGACGTGTCATTACTATCAGCAGCGATTTAACAGTATTTCACAGTGCTCTAACAATGCCTAACTCCTGCCCCAGGGCTCCGGGTTGAGGAGGGTGCTTCTGTCTGTCTGAGGAGCACAGAGTTTTGAATTAGACCCCAAGCAGAGTCTCCTCTTGAGAGCCCTGGGTCCTTTCCTGATGATCCGCACTACGTCTTTGGAAAGTGACCACTGATCATTGGAGGCCAGCACCAAAATAAAGAGGCTTTAAAGTTTAAGCTTCTTATAACTGTGCCATCCCTCAGAGCATGGATGAAGCAGAGACCCAAGGTTTAGACCCATTTACTTCACGGAAAATACACTAAAATAAGACTGAACTTGCAAGAAAATTTGGCAGTTTGTTAGTCAGAATAGTTAGGATTAAGTAACACCCTGGGGAAGTTGGGCATATTTAAAAGTATGAAATATAATTTGTGCATTTTGGACCCTAACTCCTGCGTCAGTATACATCAGATAAATTAGTTTTATAAAGTGCTTGGCAAACTGCAAAGTCACTATGCAAATATGAATTATCATTGTTAATATTATAATTAAGAATTGGTTACCTAGTGCTTAGAGTGCTACTGATTTGAAAACCTTTGGAACAGAACCAAATTATCACTACTTTTTTCCATCTTTAACCATCTAGAATCTGGTTTCCCCAAAGCAATTTTGAAAATGAAAACAGAACCAAATCAGAACCTCCCTTCTTATTCATTGCTTATATGGCATGTCCCTGACTCCCTGAGTTAGGCACTTCCTCTGTGCTACTGTCACCTCAGGATAAAGGCTCCACAACCATGCAAATGTAGCTTGTGATAAGTTTGATTATTTTGAACTAGCTAATTAATATAAATTATCATCAAACTTGGTGTTAAAAGATGACCTGGCTCCAGTGGCTTATCTATTTGGAAGGCTAAGACCAGGAGGACAGAGGTTCGAGGCCAGCCCAGGCAAATAGTGTGAGAGAACCCCCATCTCCAAAACAACCAGAGAAAAATGGACTGGAGGTGTGGCTCAAGCGTTAGAGTGCCTGTTTTGCAAGCATGAAGCCCTGAATTCAAACCAGAGTCCTACCAAAAAAAACAAAAACAAAAACCTGACCAAATTAGTTGACCTGATCTTGCTATATGGTGCCATTATCTCTTGTCTGGCTTTTGTTGTTGTCTGCTTATTGGTTCTGTTGCCTCAGGGCTTAGGATACAAATGCCAGGCCAGACCAGGCCAGATCCCAGTGTCCTTGCCACTGCTGGCACAGGACAGGCCAGTTGGGTTTGTTACTCAGAGACTAGGAGCACTGCACGTGGCCTGCCCTGGATCCTGATAGAGGGTGGGACAGTGGTTATTTTGCCACATTCTGCTGCCTTTCCCTGCCACAGGCTCAGCTGCTGAAGGAGTTAGAATACAGAGTGACTCAGGACGCAGTCACCCGGCAGCAGCTGGATATCATAAAAACATCCAGCATGGAGAAGCTCTTGGAGGATGTAGGGCAAAAGGAACAGCAACTGCAGCTCCTGACTGAAGAGGCTGAACGTGCATCTAAACTGGGTCAGCTGCAGCGGAAGAAGATAGAGCGGGAACTCCACCAGGTAGGCCCCAGTAAGTGCCAGCCTGAGGGCCAGAGCCATCTCACCTTCCTGTTCCCCATGCCCCTCTCCTGCCCTCACAGGACACCAGAGAGTGGCTCGAATCTGATGGTGGTTCACATCCGCATTGGGGGAATAAGTGCCATCAGGCTGAAGTCTAGCAATCCTAATCATTAGATGGTAGATCTGAGTGCCCAAGCTGGGTGGCCTACCCAAAACACAGGAACAAATGTGACTTTTAGGACTTCCCTTTGCCAGACATGGCTTCCTTCTTTCTGTCCCTTGACCTATTCAAGGAGCACTGCAGCTTGTTGACATCTCTAAGAGGAAGGCAGGTGCAGAGAGCCCTTTTCTGTCTCTGTTCTTGTAACTCAGCATCTGAAAGGCGATGGGACGGGTCTAGCTGCTCTGGCTTTTCAGTTTTTACTTCCTTGCTCCAGTGTCTGAGTCTGGTCCTTTTAATATTTATTAAAATAATATAATTTCCCTGTCTTATTTATCTATCCTGCCTCAGTGCCACTGCCCAGGCTCAGAATCCCACAAGCACATGTGTCTACCCAACTCTAACCTTTGAACTGGGGTCCTTTAGACAATGGGAAGGCAGCAAGGATTGTGGGAGCTCTCAGAAGAGGATTTTATTCAAGTGTTTCTGGAAGGGCAGAGTCAAACATGGCAGCAGAAGTGGTTTATAGTCAATACCATTTTGTTAACTACATCCCAGAGGGAGGGGAAAAAAAGAGGATTATTGTAATGTTGATGTAGCTCAGTTCAAGCTCCAAGGAGGCAACCACAGAATGTAATTCAGTCAAGCCTGACACAGAAGATGGTTCACACATATCCAGTAGATGGATAAATGCCTTAATTCCTGCACCAGAAATAGCAACTGGAAAATTAAACCAGACTATTGGTCAAGGGTTTCAAGTGCTCAAGGAGATCAGTAAAGAAAGTTCTGTGATTAAAATTGAATTAAGAAGAACACTAAAGAAAATGTATAAAAATGGAGAAAACCAGTAGCTTAAGAATAAAAGAAAATTAGAATTTCATATTTATTTTGTGAGAGGTGTACTAAAATATGACTAAGGAAAAAATATATAAGAAAATATAAGGGAAAAAGTTGGCATTCCACATTTGTCCTATAAATTATGCTTTTCTAAAGGCCACCACAAAAATAGGTTCATAGATTAGATTCTCCAAAGTCTCTCGTCAGTAATTATTTATTTAATGGCAGAGATTCTAGAGGTGATCAAAACAAATACTTGCACCTTTTCTTATATGTATGTCAAAACTGTTGGCCCTTCCTAAACTACCTCTCCAGTTCTACTGACAGCCACATGTCCCAGGGCTTCTGTCTCCCCAGACAGCAAACCTCAGCCAGCAAGAGCCTCAGAGCTGGCAGTGGCTTCTTTAACCAATCTCTAACCTCAGCCTCCTAGGGTGGATAATGACTGTCTGAGAGCACTGATGTCCCTGCCTGCTTCCTGTGTCTGCACTTAGAACACAGACTGTCTGATCATACTCCCAGCCCTCCAGCTGTGTGACTTTGGGCAAGGTCTGTGGCCTCTCTGTGCCTCAGTTTCCCATCAGTACCGGGAGATTATATACCTCATGGGATTGGGGAAGATTAAATTAGGTAATTCAAATAAAGTGCTTTCAATAGGTGCTGATGATTTAGCCAAGTCTGGATAAATGGTGTCTATAGTTTTGTTGGGTCCGAGAAGGCAGAGCAGCCTTGGAAACAGGTAAGTAGACCTGGACTGGGTGAGGGATTTTGGCAAGTCACTGCTTCTATCTCTGTGGGGGTGGAGGATGCTGGCATTAGGTAGGTCCTGAGTAAGCATGTTTCTTTGCTAGTGTTAACAGCAATGGAGCAGTCTGTGATCAGAAGACTTCCAAATTCTTTGTGTCCTGTGGGGAAAAATCCATCACAGAACACGTGGGTGTAAATGGAGTTTATTAAAAGTTAGGGAAAGGAAATACAAAGAGAACATGGTGGGCTCAGGTGGAGTCTGCTGGCAGAGAGAGCCTGCTTCTCTTCTCCAGGTGCTTTTAAAACTTACGCTGACCTATGGGCACGGAAGAACCTGGTGATTCCTATAATAAGCTCGGTCAGTCCGAGCAGTCCCTGAGCCAGGGCCTGGGCAACCTACACACACACCTGCAATTGAATAGAAGGCTCAGAGAGAAGAATGCTCAATCTGAATATTTTCTATGAACCCCGAACTTTCCCTAACGCTAGCCTGCCTCACTAGTATTTCTCACATTTATTTAACCCTGGCCTGGCTCAAGAAATCTTGATCTATTTTTTCCCTGGCTCCCATCCATGGAGAACGAAGATGCCTGGAGTACCTAGAAGGACTTTAGACTGAGTTTGTATTAGGAAGTCCTAATTCTGGAGCTCTGAACAGCTACTGAAACTAAAAATACCTTTGAGAGCATCCCTCACACAAGGGACAGCCCCCTTTAACATTTTAGGACAGCTGGTAGTCACAGCTTCTAGTGTGCAGGGGCATTTTGTATGGCAGGAACAGGATTTCAAACACATGGGGCTGAAATTTTGAGATTAGTATGTGCATGAATTTCACAGGGTTTTCATAAGAAATGACTATAAAATAGATGTCTGAAAACAATAGAAATGTATTGTACCCCAGTTCAGGAAGCCACAAGTCTGAGGTATTGGTGAAATTGGTTCCTTCAGGAGGCTCTGAGGAAAAAATGTCTTCCACCTCCCTCTTAGCAACTGGTGACAGATAGCAGTCTTCAGTTTGTGCTGACCATCCATGACCTTCCTTACGTGTTCCTCTGTGTGTCTATATCCTCTTCTGGGGACAACAGTCATTGGGTTTAAGGCCCACCTTGAATCCAGTATGGCCTCATCCGAACTTAATTATATTTGCAAAGACCCTATTACCAAATAAAATCACGTTTTGTTCCAAATGGACATAAATTTTGAGAGGACACTATCAACCCACTGTAGCACACATTACTTTAAAAAATATAATTAATAACAATTAGGAGATGATAAATTTAAAAAGAAAAAAATACCTGTGCTCTACGCAGGTGAGCTGTACTTTGGATCCGTCTCCTGTCCAGGTAGGGATTGTGGGTTAGCTTGCAAGGCAAGTTGCCCTCCACCCTATGGGGGGCTGTGCTCAGGACATTCCCAGCAGGCTGTGAGTTGCAAGTAGAGATTGGGAGAGGGATCACATCTTCCCTCTGCTTGAAACTGTCCAGGGCCTTCCGTGTAGAAGCCTGGCTTGGTCCTGTGTGAACTGAGACCTGACTTTCCATTGCCTATCTGCCATCAACAATAAAATGTCATAAATCAACTCCTAGCTGCTATGAGTAAGAAGGCATTCCAAGGGTCGTCCTGGTGCCTCTTCAGTTAGGGTCTTGGTCTTCCTGAAGCTGTTCATTTGCAGGACGACTTAGCCCTGAGGTCAGCCTAGCCAGGACTTTGAAGACTGGTGCTCTTGGTGGAGTGGCCTGGGGCCCACGCTCTTCCTGGAAGCCCCTTGTGAGCCTTGGGAACTAGGGTGAGTACCACAAAGCACCTCTGCTTCCCTGTCCCCTCAGATGAGGAGCCGGCTTGCCCAGGAGCGCAGCGTGAAGCTGGATGCTTTCCAGCGTGTAGAAGAGCTGCAGAGTCAACTCACTGCGGCTGAGCTGTCATCTGTCCCAATGAGCCTCCCAGGCAGTAAGCACTCCCTCCTCCCACCTCTGCCCAGAACAGTCACCCTGTCGCAGAGGCCTGAAGTTTAGGGGGCCTCAGTAACTAACAGTAAAAACCCAGTGGCTGCGGAGTGGGTCCTCCACAAAGTTTGTTGAATGAATGAATGAACGGCACATGAATGAAAAAACTTTAATTCTGATTTATAGTCAGAATTTTCCACTTTAGTTCACCTTGGAGTGCTGGCATCTATACTAAAAGGTTTCAATCAATAACAACGGTCCCAGGAGTGTGTAATATACCACTTAGGGAACACTGAGCGCTTCACTGGATTTTGAAGCATTTTAATGTCTTGGGACACCAATGACCACGTTTCTCAGATATTATAAAATACATTATGATTGTTGGGTGCTGGGAACTTAAGGGGTCCTATGAAAATGGCAAAGTTGTCCTCTAGGCAGTGTACCCAGCGGGCAGCATGGAAGTTAAATGCCAGGACCGTTCTTAACTGGTTTCCTCCTCTGTAAGACAAAGACTAAATAAATTCGAAGTTCTCTAGCTCTATGAGAAATGTCCAAACATCAGTGACCACAACTGGCCTTCTGTTAGGATCAGGCACACCTGCCTTTCTGTTTTGTAGCATAGCCTGGTGGTTGCGGTGTGGACTTAGAGGAAGACAGCCAGAACCTGTCGCTGCTGTGTGGCCTTAGATGGGTTGCCTAGACTCTCTGTAGGATGGGGCTGCTGCACCTGCCTCAAAAGCTTGCTTGAGTATTTCGATGAAACTTTGCACATCTGGTGCTTAGAATAGTTGAGGCTGCGTTGCACTTAGTGCAAATGTTGCTACCTCAGTTTCATGCATAGGGAGTCCTCTAGCTGTTTCCTTTTGGCTACTTGCAATGTGAATGAGCTGAGAAAACACAGCCTTTCAGAAGCAAAGTCAAAGATGGGGTTACTTTGGGTTTGCTGAGAGCAGAGCTGCACTTGTGAGTGGAACCTTGGGGCCTTGGCCCTGCCTCTGAGCCCACTGCTGGCCACACCACCACTGCTGCACCAGGCGTAAGACCAAGAGCATCAGGGACCCCTCGGGTTCTGTATCTTACATTCCCTTTGACTTTCCTCTCCCTCCCTTTCCCCTTTGTCTCCTCCCCTCTCCCCAAGCATCTTTATACTTCCTTTTAGGTAATGTGTCCTAGAGAACTGCCATCCGTGTCGCCCATGCCTGTACATTCACAGAGCAGAACCAAACCCCTGCCCCAAAAGGCAGGTAGGGAAACCCTCCTTCCCAGGCTTGGGGATCTGGCAGGAGCAGAGGTGGCCTTTTTTTCTAGCTTCTCCATCCCCCTCTGCAGTGAGGAGGGGTCTGTGAGGACTTTCCACATGCAGAGTCCCTAGCGGGGAGGGACTGTGTCCCAGCTGTCTTTTTGCTGCTCAGCACTCAGAGAGGACAGTCAGCTGCCACCTATGCTAGTAGTGCTGCAAGGTAAAACTCAGCTGTACATTCCCACCCTCCCTCCTTAGCTGTTGTCCAGTGGAGTCTCCAAGGGTTCCAGATCTTTTCCTCCTACAGCAGCAGCAGCCATCTCCCTGTGCCCCATGTCAGAAGCATAGGCACAGCCAAGGTCACACTCTCCTTCCTTGGCATGAACGTGGGTTCCCTTAGGATCTTGCAACTCCTGAGAAACCATGATTTGTTCCAGAGCAGTTACTCTCAAAATGCTTAAGGAAAAGATGAAGTAGCTCGGCTCACAAAACTGTAACATGTTGAGATGGAGTGGCTAAGGCAGCTTGATGAAGGCCTAAGTGATTTCTTGAGAACTGTTTCTCTTTCTCGCGGTCTCTTCACCTGAGAAGACTGGGGCAGAAAGGAAGTGGAGTCCCCCAGGCAGGAAAATGGCTGTCACCCCTGGAGCTCCCATCCTCTGCTCTGGCTCAGCAGGGTGGTGGGGCGAGCAGTGGACATGGACCACTGAAAAGAACTGGGCTCTGACTGCACTGACTTGGGTCACATGCCCAGTTTTGAACAGATCTCTGAAACCAGAAGACACCAACTGGCTGTAGGCCCAGTTTACTTGGCCCTGCCCTAGAGCTCAGGACAGACTTGGCTTCCTCCCTCCTCCTCTCTGCAGCAAACATTGTAAATCTTCCTGTCTCTTCTGATCCCCACATCAATTCTTCATCTCCAGCTTTACAGAGAAACCAAAGGCCAGCAGAGAGGGACTGTTTCCGAGTCTAGTCCCCCAGTCTGCCTACATTTATACGCAGTCACCTCTCCTTCCCTCCTGTAAAAATGGAAACATGCCTGCTCTGGCGTGGATGTACTTTGAGTGTCTCCCCACAAGCATCTGTGTATCGAGGGTTTCGTCTCTAGTGTGTGATGCTAGGAGGTGGTAGGAAGTTTAAGAGGTGGGGATTAGTTGGAGGTCCTTAGGTCACTGTGAAGCTGCCCTAGAAGGGATTAAAGTGGTTCTTGTAGGATCCCTGAACTCTTCAGAGAGTTATTGTAAGAGTAAGGCAGACCTTGGATTCGCACTCCAGCTTCCTGTTTCCAGATGCAAACCCTTCCTCTCACTAGATGTTCCTGCTTCCACAGTGAGGCTCTCCTAGAACTAGGAAAATTTGGGCCTCCACCCCACCTCACTCTACTTCTCCCTAGTGCCTGACTTTGGACTTTGAGCTGTGAACTAAATAAACCTCTTTTCTTTATCAAGCTAGGCTGCCTCTGGTATTTCATTATAGCAATGAAAAGTGGACTAATACAATGTCCCGTTTCCTCCACAGGGCCAAACTCTGTGCACAGGATCCTGTTTACTCCTACCCTCCCGGGGGTCTTGAACAATTCTTTATCTACTTCCTTTCTACCCACTCATATTCCCCATCTATGCCTCCAGCTAATCTCGCAACCAACAATTAATTATGTGCCTGGATCATGTATATACTAAGATCTTAAAGTCCACTGCAAACTAAAAGCCTCTCTTGCCTACATATTTCTTCTCCTGCTATTGGATCTTCCTTTTCTCCTTCAATAGTTAAAGTTCTTAAAGGAGTCACACTACACTCATTCTCTAAATTCACTTTACTTAATTTATTGAATTTACTCTTCAGTCATAGCTGTTAATATCGAGGACACAAACATGAGGAAGTTATTTCTAATGAACAAAGCAGGTAGGTTATCGAGTCAACTATTATAGTGGCTTCTGTACCATCAGAAACCCAGGTTTCTCTCACCATTTGCCATTCTCAACGGGTGGTTTCCACCTTATGGTCCAAGATAGCTACTTGAGCTTTCTGGCCAATAGGAAGGAGGAAGACAAGAAGAATCCACTACTCCCTTAAAAGGCACTTAGCAGAAGTCACACAGGACACTTCTGTATATATCTCACTGGCCAAGTCTTAGCCAGAGACTACACAAAGGGAGACTAGGAAATGTAGCTTTTATTCTAGGGTACTATGTATCTAAAGAAAGTTTAGGGTTTTATTATTGAGGAAGAAAAGGGAAGACTGGCACGTGAGGACAAAGGACAGGTTTCTGCCACACCACCAACAATCTGGTTTTCATCCCCACCTCTTCATTGCAGCTGCTCTTGCCAGGATGGCCAAGACTTCCATGACTCCAAAGGACAGTGTTGAGTCCTCACTTCTTGCCTGAGACTCATTTGATAACCACACACTTCTCCAGAGCTCTCCTTCCTCTTCATTTCCATAGCACTGCTCCTCCTTGAGGTTTTCCTCCTCTTTCTCTGGCTGCTGCTTCAAGGTCTCCTTTTCCAGTTCCTCCTCCTGTATCCAACCTCTGCACATGCTCTGTGACCTCTTCGCACATTGTTTCTGGATTCTCACTGCTTTACTTATTGTTTGCCAAGTCTTCAACTGTAGTTTGAAACTCCTTCAAGCTCTCGACGCAAGTATTCAGTTACTATGGGATATCTATGTTCAGGTGTTTCCTGCTCACAGGCCAAAGGGAATCTGTCTTCCTCCTCTCCTCCTCCAGGTCAACTCCTTTTGGGATGGAAGAGGTGCTGTCTTAGCAAACAGCATTGTCAAATATCCAGAAATTTGAGAGCTATTCTTCCTCACCTGCAAATCCAGTTACCACACCCTATTAATCTGAACAGCTCTCATCTATCCATTTCTATTTCCCAGAGTCCAGTTCTCCCATCATCTCCTCTTTTACTTGGGCATGTGTCCTTTAGGCAAAAAAACTCCATCCAAGATTTGAAGTTCTAAAATTTAATAAATTAAATCTCAATCCATACATTGCAACCAGGAATCTAATTTATAACTTTTTTTAACTTGCTAGAGCTTACATCTCAGGCTCACTACTCCTTAAACTCTGCCACTGCATCATCTAGATACTCCCACCGACACTTTTTAAAGACTAATCTTAGAGGCAGTAAAATGACAAGAAGGATTCAGAGACCAAAGACTGTAAGTAATGATTTGATTGTATGCATGAAACAATGAAAATTTTAAACCTGATGTTGTGGTTTTAGGGTCACTTCAAACTTTTTTTTTCATTACTTTGTTCTCTTTTTTTTATTGTTTTATTATTCATATGTGCATACAAGGCTTGGGTCATTTCTCCCCCCTGCCCCCACCCCCTCCCTTACCACCCACTCCATCCCCTCCCTCTCCCCCCACCCCCTCAATACCCAGCAGAAACTATTTTGCCCTTATTTCTAATTTTGTTGTAGAGAGAGTATAAGCAATAATAGGAAGGAACAAGGGTTTTTGCTGGTTGAGATAAGGATAGCTATACAGGGAGTTGACTCACATTAATTTCCTGTGCGTGTGTGTTACCTTCTAGATTAATTCTTTTTGATCTAACCTTTTCTCTAGTTCCTGGTCCCCTTTTCCTATTGGCCTCAGTTGCTTTTAAGGTATCTGCTTTAGTTTCTCTGCATTAAGGGCAACAAATGCCCTTCAAACTTACATTAGAAAAATTATCTATCAGGATCTTATCTAGGTACTTTGGGTCTGGATAACACAACTCTAGTGTTGAAATAAACCCAATGGGACCCTCTCCATTACAAGTCAATCATGGGTATGGAAATCAGTACCAACACCTTGCTGTGTTCTCTCTGGATTTTTAAAAAATCATATATAATAATTAGGGTATCAGATCTCTTATCTGAGTAGACATAGAAAGTCTCAGAAGTCATTTTAAAACACAAGAGAAAATACCCTTCATGAAAATTCTTAGAATATACCCTTCACATATTTGAAGAACTTTTTAAATTTTCAGCCTTAAGTTTATACAAAACAACACTTTCGGCCTCTTCTGTCTTCTTGATACTACCTTAATAAGTGTTACTTTTGGCTCCATTATCTTTTAGCGTCTCTTCTAGACATTTACTTGTCCAATAACACATCTAGTAATTATTCTTCCCTTACCTTGAAAAAATTAAGAATCTTCAAGGACAATGATGCCATTCTAAGAAGTTGTTTGAAGACATGATTCTGCAACCGATGGTCTAGTTATTGCACCCAGTGTTTCTTCCAGTGTTTCTAATTGCAGGCAAGGGAAGAAACAGGTTGGGAACATACAGTTGCAGTCTTACCCAGTCAGGAGCACGTTGTTAATGTTCACCATTTGCTTGATTCACCAATCTCCAGGATATGAAATTCTAGTCCAGTTGTCTGTCAGTAGCCATGGTGAACTGTTTCCAGGATCTCCACAGATACCAAAATCCAGGGATGTTCAAGTTTTTACAGAAAATGGCATAGCATTTGCATATAACCTACACAGTCCTCCCATTCACTTTAAATTATCTCTAGATTACTTATGATATCCAATAAATAGTTATATACTGTATTGTTTAGGGAATGACAGAAAAAAAGTACATACATGTTCAGTACTGATGTAATTTTTTTTCAAAAAATTATGATTCATGAATGGTTGAATCTGTGAATATGATACCTATAGAATATATGTTATCTGTTTCTGCATAAGCTTTTCCAAAAGGATGCAAATTTCAGTTTATATGTGTGGGACCACAAGGCTTTTCAAGATTCAGTCCATCCCCATTTCACTCCTGAAAGCTCTAAGTACTTCAGGGGTGTTAGTGATCACAACTCTTGTGGTTGAAAAAGCCAAGTAACTAAAGAGCATTAGTGGAGGTTCACTTTGAGAGATTTGTGAGGGTAATGGCCTAAGGCTAATTATTTGTTGGTCATTACTCTACTAAGTAAGCAGGCCCTATAATGAAGTGTCTTGTGGCTCCATTAGCTTGTGTATGATATAGGGACCCCAAGCAAAAAGTCTGAGAACCAGGAAAGGCATAAATAGAGTTGGAACCACTTCAAACTTATTTACGGTCTTGCTTAAGCAAGACTTATGGGTAAGTCAGACAAACACTGAGGAAGAGGAATGTACACATGACTGGAATATATATACAAATTATTTTCTAATAAAAACAGCACTGTGATAACATAAATGTAAAATATTAAGGAATTTTTAGGTTGCTCCAAACAGAGAAGTCTTTTCTTCCTTACCTGGAAAAGGCTTTTCACTAATGAATTCATTCTTGACCAGTTCCCTTTATGACAGTGGCAAAAAAAAAAAAAGTATAAGGTGCCCCACCAAAGTCCTAACCCAGATTTAACCAAAGATTTTTAGTCTCATTAATAAGGGACTTTTTATAGTGCTGTAACAAGAATTATTTGTCTTTTTAGACACACCAACACCTACTTAATATTTCAGGTACCTATTAAACACAACAAAGGGATTGATGGTGTGCTCCAACCCAATGCAGCAGAAAGTATTCCAGCTACAGCTTTTCAAGTCCAAACAGCTCCATCCAGAGACTCATTCCAGTTGGATTGGTAATCAAATCTTCTTTTTCCAGATTTTATTTGTACTAGCATTTAGATTAATAAAAATGACTCTAAACTCCATTAAACCTCTTATGTCTCTTGCCATTACTTGGAAGATAGTATTCAGAGCTCAGCCCATTCCCTTGGCAGTGAAGAAGGAAAAATAGAAAAAAGAATTAAAGTGCCCTCCCTGTAAAGCGTAGGGTCTGGGAGCTCATCATTATCTCCTGGCTGGCTCACCAAATGTTAACAGCAACTATTGTTTCCAGAAGACCTTGGTTCTTGCATTCCGGTGTGGAAGAATCCAAGCAGAACATGTGGGTGTAAATGGGGTTTATTAAAAATTAGGGAGATACAAAGGGATCATGGTGGAGTGCAAGTGGAGTCTGCCGGCAGAGAATGTGTGCTTTTTCAGGTGCTTTTAAAACCTACACTAACCCATGGGCAGGGCAGACCCAGGAGATTCCCACCGAATAATGAACAAGTGGGGAGGGGCATGGGTAGTTCCCAGCCAGATGTGGGTGGTCTGCACCATCCCTGGGCAACCTACATGGACCCCAAACTTTTCCAACTTCTAGCCTGCCTCAAACTGACATGACTCCATCTTGAGTGTCCCAGGTGAAGTAGGGTTGGCCCACATTTTGAAGCTAAGCATTTAAGACGTGCATTCCTGCAAGTCCTCCCTTGTGTTCATTACCCAGGACATCTCGAGTTTTAGTTACCAGGCAAGTGGGGAGCCAAGAGAGAGGGCCTTGCTGCTGGGCAGTGTTTACTAAGAAGTGAAAAACCACTGTACTTGGATAGAAAATCATTCAATCAAACTCCAAAGCATTTTAAAATTTATTTCACTTAAGAGTACCATCTTCTCATCTTTTCATTCTTCCAAAAAATAATTTTTGACAGCTGGTGATTGAACTCCCAGCAAGCTACCATTTGAGCCACATTCCCAGTCCCCAATCCTTTTAGTTTGTTTTCAGATAGGGTCTCATGGTTTTGCTTGGCTGGCCTCAAACCTTGGTCCTCTTACTTCTGCCTCCTGAGTAGCTGGGATTATAGTCCAGCTTGTTCTTGAGATAAGGTCTTGCTTTGGCCTGGCTGGCCTTATACCACAATCCTCCTATTTCTTCCTCCTGCACAGTAGCTGGGATTATAGCTGTGTACCATGATGCCCTGTCCTAATAACTCTTTAAACTTCCATGTGTGATTGTCTCCTTATTGGCTGATGACTGATATAGAACTGGTACCAGGAATGGGGTGTTTCCAGGGGACAGACCCATGAAGATAGGAAGTGGGGATTTGTTTGGCTGCACCCTTCGAATAGGCTCAGATCATTGGATCTTATGTTAATGCCTACAAAGTCACTTACAGCAGAGGTCTTATTAATCCAGTTGACAAAACAATGTTCTGAGGGTATCTGATGGCTACGTTTCCCAGCTACTCCACTGCTTGCTCAATGAATCCAGGAATGTGGCCATAGAGGCAGGGATAGATTCTAGGTATGGGCTCAACAAGGACTTCCCCTTTTCCAAAGCTGACATCCACTACTATCAAGTCCCAAGTCTACACAGAACTGAGACAGATCCTCAGGTTGCAGTACAGTATCATCCCTATGGGGTTCAACTGCCAGGTTAACTGCATTAGGTATCTTCTGGGGGGACAATACTGGGATTTGAACTCAGAGCCTTCTGCTAGCTAAGCACTCTATCATTTGAACCATGTCCCCACACTTTTTTGCTTTAGTATATTTTTCGGAGAGTCTTGAGCTGGAGACACTGATCAAGCAGTACAGTGCCTGCTTACAAAGCAGGTACTGACTCAAACCCCACCACCACCACACAAAAAAAAACAACAAACAAAAAAATCCCAATTCAACAGGATCTCATGTTTTTGCCTGGGCCAGCTTTAGGACCAAGATCTTTCTACCTGTGGGTCCTACATAGCTGGGATTACAGCTGTTTGTTGAGATGGGGGTCTTGCTAACTTTTTTGCCCAGGCAGGCCTCAACCCTCAGTTCACCCAATCTCCACCTCTCAAGTAGCTAGGATTAGAGGCATGAGCCACTGCTCCTGGTAGTACCAATTTAAACATTCCACAACATACAAATGTACTGAAGCATCACATGTACCCCACTGATATGTAAAGTTCTATTTTGATGTACGGTAAAAATAATTTTAAAACAAGCCTAGGATAACTAAGAGAAACAATAACATGCATCTGTTGTGGCAATAAATTGTTGAACACCTTACTGGGATTAAAAAAAAAAAAACTTACAGAATGCTAAAATAAAAACCCACACGATGGCTGGGTGCCAGTGGCTCACTCCTATAATCCTAACACTCAGGAAGCAGAGATCAGGACGACTATAGTTCTGATAAATAGTTCGTGAGACCCTATCTCTGAAAAATCCATCACAAAAAAATTGCTGGAGTGGCTCAAGCAGTAACAGTACTCGCCTAGCAAGCGTGAGACCCTGAGTTCAAGACCCAGTAATGCAAAAAAAAAAAAAAAAAAAAAAAAACCACATCGTGTATTTTCTAAATGTACATATAGTTACATGTATACAAATTGTTAAAGAGGGGTTACCTCTAAAAAGTGGAAGGCAAGGAGAAGAGATTAGGAAATGGTTGTCAAAGCAGACTTACATTTTATCTGTAACACTTCAAAAGAAGTTAACATGTATTTATGTGTTGTTCGATAATTGAAAACTGAAACTAAAATTCCAATTTTGAACTTTTTCTTCAGGTCAAGATGAAGTGAGACTATAGTCTTTCTGGTTTTTTTGCAGTACTTGGTTTTGGACTCAGAGCCTCACACTTGTTAGGCAGACACTGTACTACTTGAGCCACTCCACCAGTCTGAGACTCTATTCCCAAACAACTAAGAAACAGGACAAGATCCATGAAAGAGTGGTTTTCAGTATACTGGATATTAGATGAAGTGATCACTGAGAGAAAATTCAGCTTCTGGCCTTGAATTTCTAGGTCATGACACAGGGCAGGGGAACCAGGCAGAGCAGAGGCCCTCCCAAGAGGCAGGGGAACTAAAGAAAAAGGGAGATGAAGGCAGCTAGAATTCCCATGGTAGAGGCCAAAGACGGCAGAGTTGAAGCAACAGAAGTTTGCAGAGGGGTTTCTTGAGTATTCAGCAAGGAAAGATCAACATCTGAGGAAATTACCCAAGACAAAAGTTCAGCAAGCAGGCTGGGATCATATGAGGTTGGCGCTCCCAGGAGGCTGGGATCTATCTTGAAGCTCACAATGGAGGGGGCACTAGATGCAGAAGGGACTTGCTCAGTGCTACAGAGCAATCAGTTCCACAAATGCTGCTCTGTTGTTGTCCCACAAAGCTTCAGAGATCCAAAAGGATGAAAACTGTCTTCAGGTAACTTAACTATGTCTCAGAAAAATGTTCAAGAATCTCTCTAGAAACATGGTATCCAGTGCCCAAAAAAACAAAATTTATACCAGGCATCCAACAGAATTTACCAAGAATGCAACAAAGAAAATATGACCTATACTGGGCAGAAAAACCAATCAACAGAAACTACCCCAGAACTTAGCATTAGCAGATATGGACATTACACATTATTCTAAAACTAAAAAAAAAATTACAGAACAATTTACTATATAGACATGAGATAAAAACATCTCAAATGAACTATAAGATCAGAAATGAAAAAACATACTGCATGACATTAACAGATTAGACATACCAGAAGAAAACATTACTGAACTTAAAGACAATAATAGAAATGATCTAGTATGAAACAGAAAAAAAGATTTTTAAAAAGAACAGGGTACCACAATGGGCTGTAGGTCAACTTCTAGCAGCCTCCTATGTAACTGAAATCCCCAATAGGGAAAAGGGATGAACAGAAGGGGGAAAAGAAGAAAACTGTGAATAATGGCTGGAAAATTTCCAAACACAAAAACTAATCCAAGCAGCTCAATGAACCCCAAGCACACACACACAAAAAACCCCACACCCCTGTACATAATTAATTGTACTCAAATCCAGTCAAAAAGAAAAAGAGACCAAAAAAAAAAAAAAAAAGAGACACATTTAAGAGAACAAAAGACAGATAGCAGATCAGTATTAAGAAACAATGCACAGGACACTGGTGGCTCATGTCTGTAATCCTAGTTATTTAGGAGGCTGAGATCCATACATAGGATATTGGTTCAAGGCCAGCCCAGGCAAATACTTGATGAGACCCCATCTCCAAAATTACCAGAGCAAAATGGACTGGAGGTATAGCTCAAGTGGTAGAGAGCCTGCTTTGTAAGCCTGAAGCCCTGAGTTTAAACCCCAGTCTCACCAAAACAAAGACATAATGCAAGTGAAGAGACAATGGACCAAAATTCAAGTACTGAAAGCAAGTATGTCAGCACTGCATTCTATTGCAAAGAAAATCTTTCAAAAACAAAGGCAGTTTAAGAACAGATCATGTGTAAAAACAGAATGGCTCTTGAATTTCAAACAAAATACAAATAAAAAAAAAACACGTTGAGTAAATGTAGAAACTATTAAAAAAAAAAAAAAGCCAAAAGAATTCAATAGCTGTACCAACAAGTAACAAACCTTTCCAAGTAAAAATACTGAACGTGCTACTGGATGTTCTAAGGAAGAAAAATGCCAATCACAAGAGCCACTTTCGAAATAACGAAGAGCACAGGAAATGCTACCTACGGGGCTAAATATACAGAACCTCTTACCATCATCTACAAAACCTCTTCTAGCCTCTATTCTTATCAGAATAGCAATGTCTCTACAATGTTTTAGGGAGTCCTTAAGCTTGGCGTAAGTTTTATAATTATCAAACTCGACCATATGTAAGTATAATACAAAAGCAAAGGTTCGTAATTTCTTAGACGAACTTTTAGCTTGCAGGGGAGTACTGATTAACGTTTTTAGTTTTGTTTAACTGGCATGTGAACTCACGGCCTCACACTTGCTGGGCAGGCACTCTATCACCAACTCCTGAACAACCGCAATACAGCTCAAGTGATTTAATATATTATTTTGCCCATGTGGCCCAACAGAACCAGATTTCATGTCCCAGCATGTGGCTTGATAGTAGATGGCTCTAAACAGGAGCCCATTTTTACTTAAAATGCACATTGAACTACTCTAAACTGAAAAGGCAGGCAGTCACAAACAAGCCTAAATTCTTGGCAAACTTGAGTTTGATTTCTATTAACTTATGTAAGATCAACTGGCATGTGACTCCCATCTTCCATCATTTCTAAGCCCCATTAATTCATACTTCAGTGACTATCTGCTGGCTTAGAGGAGCAATAAAAACAGAATACACCCCCATGGACTGATAGGGTAAATCCAATAGCTTTAAATTTCACAACCAAAATGCAACAACACACTTCAGTCAATAAAGAGACTAATTCAATAAACATGTAGATTTATTTTTAAATCAGTTTTGGTACATGATACAGATTGGTTTTGCAGTTTTTATGAACTAAAATAGAAATCTCTAAGTACAGCAGTATCTGCCTGTGCAACAAATTATCTGTAAGGGAAAACAAGGTATGTGATAGAACTACATCTGCATGAACAAATCAGATGAAAAATCTGAAAGTTTCTAATATATCTTCTGGATTAAAAAACCCAAAAATTATTAATGGCTTAAGATACTACACTACTAAATTAAAGGTGGGGAGAAGTGTCAAAAGAGGCTGTGAGTTCTGTTGCAAAGGCTCATCTGTAGACTTGCGGAATCTAACTTCCTATTATGTTAGAGCAGTGCTCAAAATTACAGAATTACGGTTACATTTTCACAAAATCTGCTACGTGTTGACAAATGCATGGCAAGGAATTCACATCCAAGTAAATGACAATTACACCACCGTAGCTATCTGTCACCTTGTGAGGAATGGATATATTCAAATGTATATTTTCAAATGAAATCTTATAGCACTCACTAAAAACTAACAGCCCTGGCACCATAATAAATTTTATGAGGTACCTAGAATATTACTAATGGAAACACAAAATTGTGAGGTAAACCTATCTTTCCCCAAAAACCTTTGAAGCCAGAGATTTTAAACAATTAAGGCACTTGAAAACATTAGGTGTATGTACAAATGTGCAAGTAAAACAAACATTAACTGTACCAGAAAGTGACAAAGAAACACTAACTCTTCACTTTAAGAACCTTAATAATCAGCTAAGTACAAGGAATTTCAGTTTATGAAATGAACCAAAGCACTCTGTAATTTCCTACTATAAAATATTAAAAACCATGTGCTAAACTCAGCTACTCAAGGCTAAAGAAACTAAAACAAAAAAAACAGAAAATGACCTTGAAAAGCAAAAGCCCATTTCCAAGTAAAGTCTCTGAATCCAATATGTCAAAGGCAAGGGAGAAGTAACCCTCTAAAACTTAATAAAAAAAAAAAGAAATTTAAAAAATCATACTTGAGAAGCTCTAGAAACAAATGTATTCATGATTAGACTATGGAAATATCAAAAAAGAGAAAGCAGTGTTCATCCAGGGCAATCATGAAAACCCTAATCTGATCAAAATCCTTAGATTTGTGGGTCTTCTGAAATTTCCTGGGTCATATTTGCTGCCTGAAAACTTAAAAATGATTGTCTCACTTAAAGAAGGGTGGAGGCCTGGTTCAAGTGGTATTGCGCTCACCTCACTAGAGTAAGGCCCTGAGTTCAAACTCATACCACCAAAAAAAAAGGCTAGTAAATGAATTTCCTTCTTGTCTCAGGAAAGACGCTACTTTTTAGGAAAGCTTGGTAGAAATCTTTTCAAGGTATAACAGTACTAGGATATTTTTATGAAAAAGAAAACTAAATCAATTTTATCTCTATTATTTTTAACTGCCCTAAGAAAAATGTTGGGAGGCTCACGAGGGCTTTCAGCTTTATATAATATTCTTTAGCTTAAGTTTCTCAGCTGAGAAAAAGGAGTTGCATTTTTAATTAAATATTAATAGTATGGTATCTAAAACATCAACAGTTACATCCTCACACCAACCTTCACCTTTCTTATGTGAGAGAACAAAGCACATCTACCTTACGTTGCGGACTTCCTTTCAGTCTGTCTTTTAAGGCACTGTTCTGTATTTTCTCAATGATAACAAGTGCATGAACAATAACCTGTTACATATTATTGGTTTGTATCCTTTCCATTCATTTTGTTAAATCTGGAATGTAATTCCCTGTGTGGCATCTTATTTCTAATGTAGAAAAAAATAACTTATCAGGCACAAAATTTTACTTTAGGATACAGTTTAGTACTAAATTAATAAATTTATTACACTTTTGAAATGATAGCCAAAAATCCACCTAGACTGATGCTCATGCGGCACACTTCTCAATTCTGGTCACTAAATTACATCGTGAGTTAGGATAAAAGTAATGCAGTTTTCAGGCTTTAAGATGACTAAATTTAAACTGCCAACAGTCAGGAGGTTGTCTGCACAGAACATCATTTTCCATCACTTAAAGTTACATTTGGCATGTCAAGAAAAGAAACAATCCCACAGCAGCAGCCATTGAAAATAAAAGAAGACAGCCACAAGGATTCATGCAGAATATTTTAAATATTCCTGTTGAGCAAAATGGTTTTTAACTAATTTTTCTTCAAGGCCAATGCTCCAAAATATCCTATATGCATCCTTTGTAAATTTAAAGATCCTGAAATAGCGTCTTCCACGTGGGACTTCTTGAAAGGTATTATTTTGGTTTCGATGAGTTACACAAATGAATCGCCAGTCCTCATTAACTTAATGGCTCTCTTTACAGAGTGTGGTAATTTCGTTCTTTAGATTTGCAGAATTTATAGAGAAAGAAAATTACAGCCTGCACACCCAAGACAAGGACAATTCCTCCAATGAAACTGGCTGCATCAAAGGTAGACTTCCGTGCAGGTTGTGAGGTCGGAGTCAAAGTGGTATTTGTCGTACCTGTCGTATGATAAAAGAGATCAGGAATCCTTAATAAATCTCATGATTCTCTCATAATTTCAAGACCCACCTAAGCATCTATTTGCCATGTGTTAAATCCTAGAAGTATTTCCTCTTGTCTTTCCTGCTAGAATTTATCCCTAATTGAGGAAGATAACCATTTATCAATCTCATTCTTCATCCTGTTCAGAGGTAACAAGTGCTAAATGTTACTATAATGCTTCAAACATGAAAACAGAAAAGGATTTTCTGGTGTCTAAATTGTACCCTCGGAATATATCAAGAACTTTTAAAATACACAATAATTTTCTTAGACTATATGTTTTTGGTTAATTGCTAGAGTAAATATTATTTGTGTTCAATTCATGACATTTAGGTTTTACTAGATATTAACATAAGGTAATAAAAATTCAGTTGCACATATTCAAATTACAACGCATCCGTAAGTATCTGCAGTTTATAATTTCACAAGCAAAATAACTCATAATTAAAAAGCATCTTATTAAAAGCATCTTAAATAGTACTCTGTAAGTTAATTTTGCATAGTGAGAAACTATTACCAAGTCATTAACAACAACAACAACAAAAAAACCATGAAAATTTGGACCAGATGCTGGAGACTCACACCTGTAATCCTAGCTACTTGAGAGTAGAGATCAGGAAGACTGTGATTGCAGTCTGGGGAAATAGCATTTCATCATACTGAAAACAAAGTTCAATTTTTTTACAATAAAATATCCAACAAAAACTGGTTCTGATGGCTGTATGGGCCATCTAGGGGTGTAGCTCAGTGACAGAATGCTTGCTTAGTATGCATAAGGCCCTGGGCTCAATCCTTATCACCAAAAACCTAAACCAAACCATACCAAAATAAATTACAAGTGTTTTGTATTCCTTTTTTAGAAGACAGCTTCGCTGAAACTGGGTACAAGCACAAAGCCACAGGAATCACAAAATGTAAGAGACTCCTCAGCATCAAAACAGCAGCTTAAGAAATGGTTGAAAAAAATGATGATGTGCACATCTGGTAGTGATCTTGGCTTTTTAGACTTCTCTCAATAAAATGGATACCATTATCTTCACTCAAATTGCCATGGCCTAATACAGCATACCATGAGTCACTTAAAGTAACTGGTAATAACACATCAGAATTCACATCTAAATTGCACTGAAAATGTTTTAGAACTAAAATGTCATGTCAAATGTCATTATACACCATAAAACTCAGAAGAGGACTCTTAGTAGGGCTACCCTTATTGTTTAAACAGCTTACTACTGTATTGATCCTAAATTATAAAAGATGAGTTTCAGTCCTAAATTCATGAATCAAACTGGAGCCTGATGGCAGAAATAGTAAAAGGCAACTCTGCAGACCTCCAAGTCACTGTTAGTCAATTACCTGATGTGACGACTGTTGTGGAAGCTGTAGAAGGTGAAGGCAGAGTTGTGGTTTTAGCTAGAATGGAAACAAAATGTATTTTAAAACCTTAAGTCTCTACCTTCCAGTTATCTAACCTCTGTTTTTTTAAAAACAATGCTATCAACTTCAACATGAGTAAAGAAGCCAAAGTTCAGTTATGGCTCACTAAAAGATCTACATACCCAAGAACACTAGCATTTAAATGTATTTTAAATGTTCAGTCATCCTAAGATCCTATGTATTTTAAGATCTACATATATATTTAAGTAAAAAAATCTATGTATACATCTGGATGAAGTTTGCAAAAAAATATAAGAGAAGGGTAAGAATACGTAGGAGAGGAAATTACAGGTTCTTTCTAATTTTGCTTCTAAAACAACAGCTATTAAGTGACAGTGTTAAGAAAGAAACAACACAACTTAGTATTTCTTATGTGGGTATCAAGATTTGCTTGTCTTTATCTTCTTCACTTGCTCTATTAGGGGAACTCCAAACTACTAATACCAGTAGTCAAAAGAAAAGACCTTAGAGATAAATTTACAAATTGCTATTTCCTTAATAGTCAAATGACCAAAGAGCAACTGATTTCAAAATTTGCTGGAGCATTTAACAAAGGTTTCATTAATATGGTACTGCTAAAGTTTGAGTTCACTTTTTTGGAAAGTTAGGAGGGCACTCTAGGCAAGGGGCTGGCTGAGTGTTCCTTATCATGTCCCAGGAAACAACTAGGTTAGTCAGGCTTCAATATCATGATTTGATTACCATACTGGGCAGCTAGGGATAACTGTAGGGGAGGGGAAGATGACAAAGATTAATTACATGAAGCTCCCATTTTTATGGAAAATGTAAGCTGCTATACATGTTTTTCCACTATTTCCGAAAAAAAGGATTCAACAACTAAAGAACTTGGCAGCAAATATTCCCTTCTGTCTGCAATGTGTAAATGGAATGTAAGGCATTTTGGAATTTTCTTAGACAATAAGGCTCTTAAATATGTAACTCTTTGGTACCAGCAATTCCAGTGTTTGGCACCAAGAAGGTATAAATCTCACATCTTCTGATTCTCTGAGATCGAGATTGTATCCTGCTACTAACACGGAAATGACATTTCTATGATAAATATTTTGAGTATTCCAAATCTGATTCTTACACATTATATACATTTACTGAAATATCATGCTAGGTGCCGGTGGCTCATGCCTATAATCCTAGCTACTCAGGAAGCAGAAATCAGGAGGATCGAGGTTTGAAGCCATGCCAGGCAAGTAGTTAGGGAGACCCTATCTTGAAAATACCCAAAATAAAAAGGGCTGGCAAAGTGGCTCAAGTGATAGAATGCCTGCCTAGCAGTACTGGGAAAAAAAAAAATTGTATTCTACAAATATGTACTATTATGTGTCAAGTGAAAAACAAAAATGGGACATAAACTGAATAGACTGCAAAATGATACACTTAACCCTTAAGACAGGAAAGAATGCCAAATAACTGCTGAGGAAGCACAGAAATGAAGTCATCTTTTATCATATTATCTTCAAAACAATCAAAACAAAAGCTCCAACAGGAATAAGCACCTCCCAAATTCCACCAATATAAGGATATTCTGTACTTTACCAGGAATTATACACTAAGAATGGCCTTTAGGGCAGCTTTAAGGCAAAAATTACTGAAAAGTAGAAGTATAAAGACCAGGACTCTCGTACAGGCAAACTGTCCACATTCTAAGTTATTCCAATTTTTACAGAACCAAGCTTACAGTCTCTCTCTGTACTAGACACAACCTCACTGTACTCTCAGATCTCCACATGCACTGGTCACCCTGCTGAATATGGGAGGTCTTCCCATATATTATCAGTGTCATTGCAGTCAATCAGCATCTCCCCTAAGCTGTTACCACATCTGCTATACCATCTAAAACACACACCTTTCTATGAATTCCCCAACACACTGTGTTTACTGACTTCATTATCCCTATAGGAAGAAAAATGCTGGCTTACTTTTGTCCCTATATCCTCAACATCTAGCCTAGAACTTGTACGGGATTAGACGCAATTAGTATTGATAAATTATAAGTATCCACTTTTCCTACTGAACTGGTAGACTGAAGACTTAAGGGTATGGTGGTAAACTTCCCAGTTGTTGAAATCAAAATAATAAATTCTTCTGAAAAACAATCAATATTGAGCCTTAACTAATCATGCCCTCTGACCTAGAAATTGTCTCAATCACTCTTATCAAAGATAATAAATAATATTCCCTTTAAGATGTTCACTGCATGGAGAATCAGATGGCCTAATTATCTAACCAAAAACACAGTGAGTGATGTGTACTATCATCTTACAGTAAGTGGAAAATACAAAGATACATGAGCATTATCATCTAGCTTCATAAAACATATTCTTACTTATGTATACTCACAGGAAAGACCAAAAGAAATTAATCACTTTAAACATTTTGGTGTACTGATACATGATGGGAACTATAATTTCCTTTGGGCTCAATGCACAAAGTATAGCAAATATGCTAAAATTCACTGAATGTGAAATACTGGATTTGTGTCACTGTCACAAATGTAAATATTTACCTAATTATTGTGGTTCAAGACTAGAGTCTTTACTAATCTTTATACTAACAACCTTTAGGTATATAATTACTAAGAAATTATTTATCAAGAAGGCTTAAAAAATCCTGAAAGATGGTAGAACAGTTAATCCACCTGAATTACCTGTAGAATTGGTTGGCACAGGAGTGGGAGTAGGCACTGTTTAAAAAAAAAAAAAAAAAAAGATATACATCAAAGTTATTGAAAACGTCATGATGTATAACATGCTCCCAATCATTTAAGCACTGCTTTCACAATTTTTATAATGCAAGTTCTGCCCTCGAATTAGACAGTGGCTCCCACCACCTTCTTTGAAATGAAATAACCAAGTTGTAACACCTCCCTTCCCCCAGGAAACACATTTTTAGCCTCCCTTGCAGCTAAGTAGCCAGGAGTACCTTCTAGCATCCCTTAAAGTTGATACGGATCTCTCCCATTTTCCCTTTTCCTTTCTCGCTGGCAAGAAAAATCAACATGGCTGAAACCGAGCACCCACCTTAGAGAGTCAAGGTCAAAGCTATTTTGGGCAGAATGAAAACATAAAATGGTTGTAAAGCTGCCACTCTAGACCTTTAGCTGCACTTTAATGCAGACTTCTTTACATAAAGTAGTCCATCGTTCAAATCATTGTTAGTTTGAGGGGAGATTATGTCATTCACAGCCAAAATTAATTCCTACTGGTACAACAAGAAATAAGCAGCATTATTCAATTTTTGTTTAAACTGATGTTTTAAAAAAATGTTTTAGGCTAGAAGCACAGCTCAAGCAGCAGAGTGCTTGCCTAGCAAGTGTGAGGGCCTGGTTCAATTCCGAGTACCACAAAGTTTTAGTTACTCAAGTGATAGGACCCCTGCCCAGCAAGCATGAGGCCCTGAGTTCAAACTCTACTACTGCCAAAAAAAATTTAAAAGCCCACAAACTCACACTTGAATGGGTAAAGCCCTACCAAAATTAATGTCAAAGGTAGTCCTCGTCAAAAGTTATTGACACATAAAAGTCTTTTACTCTATTCAATTATTATCTATGTGCCAAATTAGGAGCTTAATTTTCCCATTAATTTATAATCTAGATAAATTTAAAAATTTAAAAATTTTAAATTTAAAAATAATTTATAAATTTATAATTTATAAACTAGAAAAATTAGATATTTTACCTAGAAATTTTAACAATTTACAGAGCCAAGAGTAAAGGCCAAAGACTAACCAAGTTCCTCAAAGTACAACAGATAGATGAATGCAGCAGCTTATTTAACCGTAACACAAAATGGCGGAAGACTAAGGCAGGACAATTGTCAGTACCATAGCCCAGAATGTGCCAGAACAAGGATGTCCAGGCCAGTCAAATGCAAATAAGGTCAGGGTCTACACTCCACTGGATTCCTGGAAAAGTCTGTTTTGTGTGTGTTGCTATATAGCATCCCACCGTGTATAACTAAATCAAGTTTCAAACTAGCCTTTTATCAATATGAATATAATATTCATATCCAAATTTTGAACATTAGAATTATAGCAATGCTTCACAACAAGCACTGAAACACAGCTTTGAGGCAATGATCTTCTTCACCCTCCCATGGTCACTTTCCCCAGCAGCCAATGGCAAGCTTACCAGAACAAAAGTCAGTGCTGTTCACCATGGTACAATTACTAACTTCTGGATTATGTGTACAGTAGGTCTTATCTGCTGTGGAAAAAACAGCACCAATTACTCATATATACCCTTTGATTTTGCTACTAAGCTCCAAAAGAGCTAAGAAAAAAAAATCAAATCCCAATGAATTATGATATGACCTCTATAAAATGAAGGAAGGCAGTCAGAGATGCACAGAAAGAGGAGTCAGTAATAAAGACACAGTGAACAGAGGTGCCCTGTAGCACCTATGCTCCATCATCTTCCTGCTTTAGTTATCTATACTCTTTATAGCTTCCCTGAGTAGGCAGACATAGAGTAAGGGGAGAGCCTTCCACAACAAATTTTAAAGTAGAGCACTCAGGCTCCGAAACTTGGCAACTAGTACATACTGCCATCTATGGGGGCGGTATACCCTAAAATACTATTTTATGACCTAAGTGGTATCTGTAGAATATACCTATATAGTAAGTTATTTTAACTCCAAATTAATACCTTAGTTTTAAAGAGCTATCTGAGCTTTATATAATTTCTAGAACTATTAAGTTCTAGAAACTTAATAGTTTTTAGAACTATTAAGTTCCTTAACGCAGAGAAACTAAAGCAGATACCTTAAAGCAACTGAGGCCAATAGGAAAAGGGGAACAGGTACTAGAGAAAAGGTTAGATCAAAAAGAATTAACCTAGAAGGTAACACCCACGCACAGGAAATCAATGTGAGTCAATGCCCTGTATAGCTATCCTTATCTCAACCAGCAAAAACCCTTGTTCCTTCCTATTATTGCTTATGCTCTCTCTACAACAAAATTAGAAATAAGGGCAAAATAGTTTCTGCTGGGTATTGAGGGGGGGGGAGAGGGAGGGGGCGGAGTGGGTGGTAAGGGAGGGGGTGGGGGCAGTGGGGAGAAATGAACCAATCCTTGTATGCACATATGAATAATAAAAGAAAAATGAAAAAAAAAAAAAGGAATGTGTAATAAAACTAATAATTTTGCTGATTAAAAAAAATACAACCACCTTACATTAAGAGAAAACAATGACTTAATACTGTGATATCATAACTAACAAAAATCTTTCATTTCAATGTATTTCCACTTTAGCTCTTTATCCTTCAAGTGTCCATGAAGTTAATTTATTTTAAAACTTAACAGAAGAACAGAAAAGGGTCAACTTTCTTCTTTCCACCCTTTCCCACCATATGTAAACATCCAAAAAGTTTCATATGGTCTGGTTTCCTTTTAATTTCATTTTGCTGAACACATAAATGACTCAGTTTTCAGAGGATAATTTTAACTTTCTTTCATAGCTAATTTTAGCATTTTAGTGTACTTTAATCCTTACAAAGATCTAAAGTCTCTATTACTTTAAAAGCTTTTAAGCCTTAACTGTCAAGTGTAAGAAATCTAAAAAGGGGAGAGGAGTTAAGCCATTGGCATTTTAAAATACTAAACTTGCAAAATAAACAATGCATACTATCCCAAATGTTCCACAGAAATTTCCAAATGTTCAAGAACATACTGTAGCATTAGAGAAATACTAAACAGTTTTTTCTCAAAATTACAGCAACCCCAAAGTTTCTTACCTTCTTTACATTCTATCCAAATGCAGGTAGTATTGGCAATGCTAGCGTTAACACAGGAAACGCAGCTGCTGTGGTTTTCACAGGTTTCTAGAGGAAAATGTGTGAAATTGATGAATTGGTATCTTATTTGAATTTATTCTATTTTTTAAACAATAACCATTAGATACAATATCAGAATAATTCAGAGGAATGGTAAATAACACCTCCTAGGAAATTCCAATTATTACAAACGATAAAGCCATAAGTAAACTGAAGAGAAACAAGTAGGCATGCTCAGTACCTTTAGGTACCTATCTAACAATCCTTTGTCATAGGGCAAATATTTGAAAGATACCCACAGATGGGGTTTCTTGAGACATTTTAAAGCACTCCTAAAATATAACAATACTGGGGAAAAGACTGTAGGACCAATGCTACATATGGGGAAATCACTGACTCTTGCTGCCGCAGATGAGGTGCAAGGATTTTAATACAGCCGGGCGCAAGTGGCTCACACCTGCAATCCTTGCTACTCAAGGAGGCAGAGATCAGAAGGATCACAGTTCGAAGCCAGTCGGACAAACAGCTCTCAAGACCCTATCTCGAAAATACCCATTCACAAAAAGGGCTGGGGGTGGCTCAAGACGAAGGCCCTGAATCCAACAGCACCCCCAAAAACAGAATTTTAATTGTAATGAAGATTAGAGGTTATATCCGAACTCTGATGCTGCCATTCTGAAAACTTGTTAATTTCCCAAATATTCACGATTCAAAAATGAATCATAGGTTTTCCACAACTGGAAACCACATCTACAAGGGTCACATTCATGTTATATAATTTAACAAGCTAGCAAGATGTTTGCCAATAGTTTGTCTAAATCAAATGACCCAGAAACAAAAACTCAAACATGGCTTATTACAATTCAATGCCTGGACAAAGGTGCAGACTAATAGAATTGGGCTCCATTCATTTTCCTAGAAACTAGACGCCTACAGCATTCTCATTCGCTTTCCTCTTGCGTAAAAAAATAGTTCTGCGGCCGCATTTTAATACTTCATTATTTACTGAAAACGGACGTGTATGGGGGGGGGTGAGAACGATGTTAGTTCTTCACAATTTATGCTACCTATTTAAAATTTTTTATGCCTGATGAGGGTGTAAAACAGAGTGAGTGTTACTTACAGTGAACTCAACCTGCTATTTTTCTCACTGGAGCTTATCTATGATGTCAAGGAAAAAACTTATCTACTTCACATACATTTCAATTACACAAAGACAATTAACTTGGTATTTCCCAGCATCACTGAAAAACACAAAACAACAAACCACACCGTAATTCTGAGGAAAATACCAAATAACAGGAGACAAAAAATACTTTGCTCTATCATCTTAAACAGTGCGGTTGGCGATTTCCAGGACTGTACGGCAATTAACTTTCCTCATTTTTCTTTTTTGTTTTACCCGTAACATCTCTGTGTACCAACAAGACGAAAAATGTTAAGTTCACTATATGGTTCATTAAATTTTATAAAATACTGAAACTAGGTAAGACGCTAGAACATGATCGGTACCAGAAAACCTCATGGGGTCTATCTTTACACTTTGGCGATCCCAGAATAGCCAATCATCCAACACTACACTAAAACATTTGCTGTTCTTTTCACCATATCACCTCTTTTGTACGGTTACGACATGTCACTTTCAGCTTTAAAATTCGCGTATGCCTTAACCGACCCTGCTCCACTGCAGCTGGAAAAACTGTTCCCAGATCGGGTTTTGGGTTCCGATCCAGCTTCACACTTGCCAAGCTTGGGGTCCCAGGAGAGTCCCCTCCAATCCACCTTCTGGATTTCACCTTAGGTAGCACTCAGCATGGAACGTGCTTTGGCGATCAAGTTCAAACCTTAGCCATACCCCAAGCCCAGCTGCAAAATCAACGCGATAAAATTTCAGGCGACTTCATCTCCAGCCAGCCTCAAGTTTCTGTCCTCCCCCCGAGAAGCCCGGGGTGGTAACGCCTCGCTCCAGGCACAGGAAAAGGGTCTCCCCGCGAACTTCGGAGACGCGTCACCTTGCCGCATCTTAACCACAGCTGCCACGTCCCCGCCCCGAGCCTACGGCGACGCTGGGGATTACGAGGGACTTTCAAAAGGCGTCTCGGCATCCAACGCGCCGAGGGGGGTCGGAAACGGCGCAACGGCCCAGAGACTCGCCCGCCCCCTTCCAGCCGGCCGCTCCGCAACCGCTCGGCCGCAACCGGACTTGGGGCGGGCCGCCATGTTGCGGAGTCGCCGTCGCCCCCGGAGCGCGGATGGCCCGCCCGCCCCAAGAGTGCGTATCGACGGAGTGGGCGAGCGCAAGAAGCCCGTCGGGCCGGAGCCCACCTGGTACTGGAGTGACGGTGGGCTGCGGAGCAGACGGCCCCAGCGTGGTGACTTTCCCGGAGGGTCCTAAAGTCGTATGTCCAGTCACGGTTGGGGCCAGGGTAGAGTTAGCCTCTACAGACAGCGCGCAAAACGCGACCAGGCAGGTGACGGCCCAAAACAGCAGGCGGGAGGACCCCGACATGGTGTCCTCGGCACTAGCGTCCAGATGAAAGCTGCGACGCACAACACTCTGGCCGTCCCTCCGTCCCCTGCGGCGCCACCTCCGAGACTCCGCTCCCTAGCGGGAGCGTGCACCGGTCACGTGAGGCGTTTCGGCCGCAGCGTGTGCGGCGCGGCGCTGCGAAGGCGGGGCGAGGGCGAGACCAATGAGAATATGGGGGGGTGAAAGCCGGAACGGCCAGAGGAAACTTCAAGAAGACAGCACTTTGTCTAGAAAACAGCCCACGTACTGCAAATTGTTTTCTTTGCCCTCTGATTACCACGAAAGACACAATAGGTTTTTTCTTATGCCTACGATGGGAAGTCTCCCACCCTGGCTTGAATGGTACAACCCACGTGACGTGGCGTATGGCTTCCACGAGAGCGCCCCGCGAGGCCGTCCTTCTGCGGCCCCACGTGACCCGAGGTCCCACGTGACCTCAGGGGCCGCGCTTCCTGGACCCTTGTAGTTTGGGCGGCACTTATTTCCGTGTGGAGCTCGTAAGACCTGGGCTGCAGCAGAGTTGGTGCTGTTTGCCGAATCCCGAGTGCTTAGCTCCGCCCTGAGTAAGCGCCGAGCTTTCTTTCGTGAAGATGGACGATGCTAGAAGCCACCCTGTTACGGTGCTTCCCGGGGTTACGGGAACCATATAGTTAAGGAGTTTCTGCTTGGCCGGCCACGTAACGGCGTGACTGTGGCACGGAAAAGCAGTCCCCTGTCCACAATCCCAGCCGAATTGCTACTTCAGAACGCCGCCGCCCGGCCGCTCTGCTTCATCTCCACCACTGAGGCCAGAATCAAAGGCGGTCAAATTGAAAATCCTCAGGGTCTGTTCCCAGTCCCACCTCACAGGTGAGGAAAAATGGAGACGGGAAAGTACCTGACCCAGACCAGGCTTGATCGATCACTTGTGTGAGAGCTGGGTTTTTCCGTGCCTGAAGCTTTCAGCAGGGCGGAGCGCCATCTGATGTTCGGTCTCACAGAATGTTCACAGTGCTTGATGTGTTTCTATCAAATGGTAAAAATTAGACTTAAAACTGTATGTAACCATCTGTTTCAGCAGTCTTGTGTTTATCATGTAACTTTAATTATATGTATTTACCCTAATACAATGACATGAATGTTAATTGCTTTGTGAGGTCTGTTTTGCCGTGCCACAAACACCAAAAATGATGACAGCAGAAGCGCGTTGTCTTTTTTGAGCTAAGGTTGAAATCCTTTATTCGGCCTGGAATCTAATTAGTGTGGCCCTTGTCTCCGCTCATGACTATGAACATGTGTTCCATTATTTAGTTGGGGATTTGTGTGGATGTAAACAAAATAGGGGGGTTTTGACTGATCCAACCCGTGGCCAGACACTTGAGAGGACTCTCAAATAAATTTGAGATCCCACCACCAGCCCTTCAAACAGATGTCTGAGTCTAAATAGAGGCACTAAGTCGCTTTCTTTTTTTCAAGATTCAAAATAGAAATTCTGTTTCCTCTCCATACCACAATGGTTATCTTGTTCCCACCTAAGGATTTACACACGCCACGGCGGAAGCCGTTGGTTAACGGTTTATCATATGGGTGGGTGTTCAACTCTAATCTTTAGATTTCCACAAGTCCTCCGTTGACTTATTTTATTTTACATAGGATTGTTACCACCAGGGGAAAGAAAGACAGGCGTGCTTTCAGCTTTCTGGTTTCCTAGCAATTCACAGGAACTTGTTATCCAAGATGAAAAGCCTTTCAAAGGGTTTCACGAAGAAACTCACAAGTGGAATTTTAGTATGGGTTTATTTTAGTAAAACAGGCTGAAGTACGGTGATAAAGGAAAAAAAAGGAAGCAAAAAACACCTGCTTGAAATGCAGGTGTGCAAGCAGAGAAGCTCAAAAATGGATGGTGGTTTTATATTTTCTGAGCTGGGGGATACCATGGTCATGTTCTCTAGCAATCCCTAATTATTAGAAAAAATGGGTTCAGGGTGGGTCTGTTAGCCAAAACATGGCTAAGATTGATCTTGTTATTCTAAAACATGGAGATAAGTGAGCTAGGCCTACCCAAGAAAAAGAAAAAAACAGGGACAACAGATATGACATTTAGAACTCCCGTTTACCAGATACGCCCTTTAATTTTCTGTCTCTACCTATTCAAAGAGTTTGCAGCTTCCTAACACCTCAGAGGAGAAGGCAGATACAGATAGCCCCTATGTCTCCCTATTCTTGCAACTTAATATCTAAAAGGGGAAGGCCAATGGGAGGAGAGCTTGCTGCTCTGCTTTTTCAGTTTTTACTTCCTGGTTCTGTTTTAATTTCTCAGTCTGGCTCTTTAATAATTTATTATTTTTAATTTCCCAGTCACTCCACCTATCCTGCCTCAGCATCTATAGAACTAGATCAAGGAAACTGTCCAAAGTAATTTTTAACATTTATTTTCTATTCTAAAAGGAGCAGAGTCTATATATCATTGTCCTATTTCTTAGCTTTGGCACTACTGAGATTTTAAGCTGGCTAACACTTGCCTGGCCGGTGTATTTTAGGCTGCTTAGTAGCAACCCTGGGCTTTAGTAGAAGCCAGAAGCACCACTCCTCAGTTGGGATAACCAAAACTATCTCCTGACATCATTAAGTGTCCTCTGATGGTAAAACCACCCGCAGTTGAGAACCATTGTATAGAGATTTGTGTTTGCAAGGTCAACCATCACTCAAGTTATTTCTTCTTTGCTTGCAATTACGAGTATTAATTAGCTTTTGGAGCCACTTTCTTATCTATTTCTTTTCTGGAAAGCAACCAGAGTGCTTGGCTCTGTGAATCTGCTAGCAGTATGAGCTCCCTCAATTTTCTTAAACAAAAAAAAAAATCTTTTCTCCAAACAAACAGAACAACATTCCAAACAGAAGCCTGCTTTCTAGCTGTAAATATAATATCCAATGGGCCCTTAGCAATCAGAACAGAAACCCTCTTAACTAGCTTACGTTAAAAGGGGATTTATGGTGAGAATACAGGAATAGCTGGGCACTGGTTATGATTATGGCTTATGTCCATAATAACTACTTGAGAGGCTGACATCAGGAGGACTGAGGTTCGAGGCCAGCCCAGGCAACTAGTTTATGAGACCTCTATCTCCAAAGCCTAGCAAGCAGAAGGCCCTGAGTGCAAACCCCAGTGAAATGGACTAGAGGTATGGCTCAAGTCATAGAATGCCTGCTTTGCAAGGCAAACCTCAGTCCCACCAAAAAAAAAAGAATACAGCAGTAAATCTTGCAGACATTCAGGGATGGGAAACCAAGTTGGGGGGTTGCGGAAGGGAGTCTTGAACTTAAAAGAGGAGACCTTGACTTTCTAGAACACTGTTTCAAGCCCCAATCCCACTTGGCCTTGCCAGCTCTAGTCCTCATGTAAGAGGTGGTTAAACTGCTTTTGCTGAAAAGTACTGACTCCTCCTTACTTGGGCCAACAAATTAAAAGCACCAGAAAAGCTTGGCATCTCTCCTTCATTTTGCATTTGTCTTTGCTTGTAAGCCATTCTTTCTGCAGTCACTTTGCAATCACATTGTATTCCAGAAAGGGCACAACTGATAACATTTTAACAAGGTACAGAAACTACCCCTAACAGTAGACTTACAGTAGAGCCTCAGTATAGACCATCAGGCAGGCAACAATGACTCTGGATTGCAACTCCCAGAACAAGGTCAGAGATAAGGATCAACCAGACCATACCTGTGACTGTGGACTGTTTCACAGCACATAGCTCTTTCCCCTGCTCCCAGTTCTTTGTCTATTTAAACCTATAGCTCATGTCTGTACCCTGAAGATGGCTGAAGATTGACTGAGGACTTACTCTGCCTCTTCCCATGGCATATCGGGGCCATGTAATAAAACTCCTTTCTCTGTCCTCACCATGTCTCTTTATTTGGTGTACAGGGGCAAGTGGATGAGCCTGACGTGGAAGCCCAGTAGTTTGGGTCTGGGATCCAAAACTCTGGTTTCACCCACAGTCAATCATCTTCATTGCCCAGTATTTCTGTTACAGTTCTTGGAAGAGAGACTTGACTGACCTAGAATTTCTCAACCAGACCTCTACCTACTTCTCCTCTGAGCCTGTCTATTGAAAACTACACTGCAGCTCTTTGGACTTTCAATTTTAAATGTTCATATTATCTTTTGTATCTAGATCTTCATAATGCCATTTCTTCTACCTAGACTATTCTTAGCCCCTCTGGCACCACCACCTCCTAGTTGTAGGTTGATTGCTAAGATGTCACTCCCTCTGGAAAGCCATCCTTAAAATTCAGAACTGCCCTTTCCTTCTCACCCCTACACCTCAGGTGCTCCTGCTCTGTTCTTGGAAAACATACACTTCCTCACTAGGTCATCAACTCTGAGAACAGGGACAATTTTCACCAACTTATTCCCTACTGCAGGCATGGTGTCTGGCTCATAGTAGGCATTTGATTAAAAAAAAAAAGAATGAGCAAACAAATGACTGGTTGACTTCGGTCAGTTGTCCACTCTTGCTAAAAATAGCTTTGGCTAAAAATACAGGAGGGCAACTGCTACAAATAACTCCCTGTACATAGCCCCTTTTCCATTATTGGTCAGGGAGATTCAGAGGGGGTGGGGTGGGAGGCAAGGCCTGGCATCAGTTTCAACATCATGTATTAGATCTCCAGAAGCTCAATGCTGGCGGCTTACACCTATAATCCTAGCTACTTGGGAGGCTGAGATCAGGAGGGCTGAGGTTTGAGGCCAATCCTAGGCAAATAGATCATGAGACCCCATGTCCAAAATAACCAGAGCAAAATGGACTGGAGGCCTTGCTCAAGCAGTAGAGCAAGACCAAGGGTAAAGACCTGAGTTCAAACCCCACTCCCCCTTTCCCAAAAAAGAAGAAAGAAAAAAGGAGTTTCCTTAAGGGAAAATTGATAGGGGTGGTAGAGACAAATTTTAATTTTAGGGAGATATGTACTTATTTCTATTATTTTTTACAAACAAGTATGGTGAAAGAAGTGTTTTCACCATTACATCACGGGAAAGGTAATTCCAAAACAAATATGTTTAACTCAAAATCTATATAGGAAGTATAAAAACTCAAGAGTCTGGAGTCCTGATGCCACAACGTGACCCATGCATTAACAACAGTGTGCAGTTGGGGCTAATTCGTTAGATAGAATTTTGTTTAGCTTTGCTTTGGTTTTGTTATTTTGTTGAGTCAGCGTGTCTCTATATAGGCCAGGCCAGCCTGGAACTCTGTGGAGCCTAGACTGGACTCAAACCTATAATTCTCCTACTTCACTCTCCCTAGTGCTGAGATTACAGGTGTGTGCCACCATGCCTGGTTTAGAACTTTAAATGTTTACCTCAGATCTCCCAAAACAGGAAAAATATTTGATGCCACACTTGCTTGTTCACATGAAATACTGTAAGAGATAGCATATATACTTCACTTTGCTATGTCAGCAGTTAGGGCAAGAGTCCTCACATAACTAACATTGTATATAAATTATCAGAATGCCTCAATTTTCTGTATTTCTACATTCAGAAAATTCTAGAATTCCCTCTGTTTAAGTCAGTCTTTTGGTTAAGTCAATGTCTTGTATTTAGGATAAGCTTTCGAGTGCTTTGTAACAATCAGCTTCTTTAAACTATATGGATAAACATACAGGTCATTTTAACATAGAAGTAGCAGTGCATATACTCTGGTGCTTGTAAGAATCACTGCACGTACAGATTTTTGTTAAAATTTCTACAACCCAGGAAATGAAAGTGGGTAAGTATGATTAAAGTACATTATAAACAGGAAGGAAAATGTCATGATGAAACTCATTGAGATGTATAAAAAAGAAACTATGTATACATAAGCAAATATGTATTTTAATCTAAAACCTAAGAAAGTAGAATTACACACTCAAATGTGGAACATATCTGATTTTTTTTTAACCATTTGGGAGAAGCCTTTATTGGTACACATCTGATTTCAACCTACTGGAACGTACAACCTATTAATTGCCTTGGATCATGACCGGCATTTATTTTTAAGGAAATATAATTCATAGCACATAGTAAAAGTTAGTGTTGCTTTGTGAAAAGAAAAAAATTTCTACAGCCCAGAAGTGGAAAGTTAGCACAAAAAAGACTATGAATTTGCTGTCCTTGCGAAGATTGGCAGAGTTGTACCTTTATGTTGTTGCTAAACAGATAAAGAGAGCTGGAGTCAATTTCTTTCACCCATGCAAGCAGCCCAGTCTTGTCACAACATCAGACAAAATGCTTAAGGCCATCAGTCTGGTTTCATCACCATTGGAGCTGTTCTGCTTGTTACTACATGACCAACGCTTGTAACACGCTGCAGCCAGATCCCTGCAAAGCACTGGTTTCACTCCCTTGCTGCACAGTTGGTGAGTGTTGGTGGGAATCCCCACTTCCTTTCATTTGAGATGTCCTCAGTAGCACCTGAGAACTGACCAAAGGCCCAGAGAGAGTCTGGACGCTTCAGAGAATAAGCTATTCCAGAGGATAGCCAGAGTTCAGCTGAACTCTCGTCTCGAAGACTCACCAACTGTGAAGCAAGGGAACGAAACACTGCACTACCTCTGTACCAGTTGACATCGTGACACAAGCAGTATCCATTCTCCCACCCACCTTAGATCTTTGTATGAAAGTGCACATCATGTAGCAATAAAGCTGTCGAAAGAAAAAGGGGGGGGACCCAGAAAGCACATGCCAGGTGTCAAGACAGGGATGGTGGGGATGGAGCGGTGAGACTAAGGGATGCAGAGTGGTGCTGGAAATTCTCTGTCTTCATTGCGTGTTGGTAACGCAGATCTTCACATGATGGGCACATGTTTGTACCCATGTTAGTTGCCTGTTTTTGATAGTTACTATAGTTGTGCAAGATGTAAGCACTGGGCAAACTGTGCTTATATCACAGGACTACTCGGTACTATTTTTGCAACTTCCTGAATTTATAATTATTTCAAAATACAAAAGCATATGTCTATCTTTGGCAAACCCTAAATCAATTACAGGCTTGTCCTTTTTAAGACTGGCTTAAAGAGTTCTATGGAAGACAGACCATCTTTGGCACTGGGCACGAAAAGCACAATGGCTCTGGGTAGGCACAAGGGTAGTGATACTAGCAGAGCTTAGCAAGGTCACCAACAACAGAGTGTTTTCAATGATTCCCTAATAACTAGTGCCCAGCTGTCCAAATAAGAACCGGGGAAGAGCTAATCAAACACAGACTCCCTCTTCCCTCCCCCAGACTCCCACACCTAGAGACTCTGACTCAGGTCAAGGACAGAGCTGAGCAGTCTGCATTTTAAAAGCTCCCCAGGTGATGTGCATTTGAGAACCTCAGCTTAAGGAACAGCTGATAAAGCAGAGCTCCAGTCATGTGGGTCAACCACCATGGGGACTATAACCCAAGCCCTTGATTTCCATATGGTTGGTATGGCTCAGAGAGCCATGGATTGTATTCCCAAATATCCAAAGTACACACACCCTCAGCTGAATGCTACGTCTAAACAATGAAACGTTACACTGAATTGTTTCTTCTACTGCATCATGGTCTATTTGGTTATTTACTAAGTTTCTCATGGTAGAAATGTATTTACAAACAACATAATTCTATTAAGAATATTTTAGATTCAAAGACTATTAGGTATACTGCTAAATTAAGAATGTCTCAGGGCTCAAGTGGTAAGAGTGCCTACCTAGCAAGCTTGAAGACTTGAGTTCAAACCCTAGTGTCGCTTAAAAAAAAAAAAAAGAAGAAAAGAAACAAGTACTATCTAAATATCTTAAACACATAAAAATGTCATGGCTGGCAGAGTGGCTCAAGTGGTAGAGTGCCTGCCTAGCAAGTGTGAGGCCCTAAGTTCAAACCCCAGTGCCATCAAAGTAAAAAAAAAAAAAAAAAAAAGAGAAAGCTTCAGTTAAAAAAAAATAGTTTTAGGGGTTAGTGATATAGCCCCAAACTTGCCTAACATATGCAAGGCCCAGGGGTTTAGGCCCCAGCACCACAAATAAACAAAAAACCTGGGCGTGGTGTCTGTCACATATCTGTAAATCACAGCACTCAGGAGGCTGAGGGTAGAGGATCTTGACTTTGAGGCCATTCTGGGTTACATAGTGAGACCCTATCTCAATAAATCAAAATAATCATAGTCATAATTATGGTTTTGGCTGTGTGTAACAAAATAAACATCAGTAATGTAAAACAAGGGACTATGTCTTATGTAGTAAGTTCAGAGGTGGAGAAGTGCTGGCTGGTACTGGTCCCACAGCTCAGGAGGTTTGGGGCTGGCATCTCAGCAGTGTCCTGGCCTCTCCTTCATGGCCACAAGTTGATGTCTGCAGCTCCATCAGGTCTGCATTCAAGATGGGGTGAAGGGGAAGGGGCAGGACCACTGGTGTTCTACTTCTGTCTGACTGGTCAGAATGCTGTCTCATGGCCACTTCTGGCTGCAAAGGAGCCTTGGAAATTTAGCATTTATTTCGCTTTTACAATCTCTACAGTAGAAGAAGGAGAGGAAAAAGGACATTCCCAACTACAGTGCCACAGCTTTCAAATGAAATGTTATCAAGCACTGTTTAATTAAATCTAGAAACAGCTGATCAGATGTAAAGTAATAAATCATCATAGAAAACACTGATAGGAAAATCAGTCATAAATATTTCCGCAGTCAGCAATTCTACATATTGGTATCGGTCTTTCGTTCTCTGTTGGAATTAATTCTAGCTGTTTAAGAACTTCTGTTCCTTCAACCAACTGCCTACAGAGGAAAAAAAAAAAATGTGGTCACTACCCAGTTACAGCTAAGGTTGTTACCCACGAATTAAATTAGCTTCAGTCAAAATATCTGAGATCACTAGATCAGTCCACCTCACCACATCTAACCCTGCACTGCCATCCAGGCCCTGCCTGCAAGCTGCCTGCTGCAGTACCTGAGAGTGGCTTCCCCAGATTCACTGTGGCACTGTCCCTCCTCCTGGCATCCTTTCTCCTCATTGCAGTCAGATAAAGCAATGTCACCTTCTTGCTTTAAACACGTCAATAATTTCCCAAAACCCCTACTGTAACCAGGGTCTGAACAGCCTGCCTCCTTCTGCCCCTCAGGAATGTCTTGCTACATGATTTTTCCTTCTCTCTGCTTCGGCACTGCAAGAGCCCTTGGCTACCTTTCCTGACCATCTCCTGGCCTTCCTCAGCTACTCAGCTCAGCCCTAGGATCCTTGGGGAAGTTTCTCAGGTCTGCCTACTTAGGTAAAGTTCACCTCAACCCTCAGAAGAGTTCCCAGGGGTGAAATCTTATTTATGTGCATGCTTTTTTGGTTACCTTCTGATTCTCCCATGAAGGCGGGGATCATACTTCTGTTCAGTGCCTAGCACAAAGCCTACACACACTAGACACCTAACCAACATCTGTGGAGTACATGAGTAGAATCTCAAAGCCACACTAGTTTGGACCTCTGTAGATACTCGCTGGCTATGAGCTAGAGTGGGTGTTAGAATTTTGATGGGTCAATTAAAAGATGAGGCAGAAAGACAGCTAGACTTTGGACAAATAGTTTCTGCCAATACTTGGGCTAGGGCAGTGGCTGGGGGAGAGGGAGGAACCTTCCATCTCATGAACCTTTACAAAGGCATGGTCTGTGCCAACGTTGACCATGCTCCAGCCCTCTCCGTCTGCCTCAAGGCTCAATTTTTTCCATCTCAATCAGAAACTATGACTCAGGATGCTATGATTTGAAGCTCATGTTGAAATGTAATTGCCACTGTGATAGCACTAAGAGGTGACTAGGTGATAAGGATGGATTAGGTCATTTTCACAGGAGTGGGTTAGTTGCCTTGGAAGTGGGGTTCTGATAAAAGGCTGAGCTCCAGCCCCTTTGGCCCTGTTGGTCTCTTCTAGCCTCTACCATGTGATAGGATGGATCTACCATGTGATCCCTTGTCGTGGGATGCCCTCTGCCCTGCTATGATGCAGCATGAAGGCCCTCCCCAGATACTAGCACCATACTCTTGCACCTTCCAGCCTCCAAAACCACTTTCATTGTTTATAAATTACTCCGCCTGTGGTATTCTGTTATAGCAACAGAAAATGGATGAAGACACAGGGCAACACAAGGTACATTCTGAGGCTGAAAAGTAGAGGATAAATAGATCCACCTCTGTCCAAAGGGGGAGAAACCTGTTCTCCACATAGGTTTCACAAATATTGAATGACCACTTACTATGTGCACCTCTCCACTGTGACAGGTGTAAGGGGACAAGATAAGTGAGGCCTAGTTTCTGCTTTCAGTTGTTCACAATGTGCTGGAGGGGACAAAGACACCATCTACTTTTGTAATCAGGGAGGTTTCTGACCTAAGCCTTGAACAGGATTTTGGCAGTCTGAAGGGAGGTAGAAAGGAAGAAGGTGAGCAAAGCCCAGAGACTGTTCCAGGAGTGATGGCATTGCGGTCTGACTGCAGCTCAGTTACCAATACACAAATTGCTTCCAAATTTATATCTTCAGCCCTGTCCTGCCTCCTGGGATCTTGCCAACTGGCCGTCCTACAGATATCTTAATCTGAAATGCAGCTTGTCCAGCCTGAAACCCTGGTCTTCCCTTCCAAACCTTCCTCCTTGTAGTCTCTCTGTTGGTGAATGGTACTAACCATCCACCCACTCTCACATCTTAGGAGTTACTGGAGACCTACCTGTGCTGCCAGTACAGGAGCCACTAGCCACACATGGCTATTAAAATTTATTCAAAATTTAGTTGCGCTAGTCATATTTCAAGTGTTCCAGGGCCATGTGTGTCTGACCATCAGCCAGGGCAGAGCAGATTATAGGATACCTCCCTCATCACAGAAAGTTCTGTGGGACAGCACTAGCCTGGACTCCTGCTGTCCCTCACCCTCACCAGCTACTGTCATCAAGCCATGTGGATCTAACTTCTCAACATCATTTGGGTTTGTCCACTTACCCCTGGTATGCCTACGCTGCCAGTGCCTTAGATCAGGACTTCATTTATGGCCTGTTATGACCAGAGCTCCCTAACTCACTACCTTCATTTTCCTCCTTTTTCAATTCACTCTTTACTTCTGCTAAAGAGATGGTTTCAAAGTGAGAAGCTGGCCATGTAGCTCACAAGTTAAAATTCTTCCATGGTTCCCCATCCCCTCAGAAAAGGCTGACACTTAGCAGCATGGCACCCATGGCCCATTGGGACAGGGCCTTGGCTGTTCCTTTTCTCCAGCCTCCACTCCCTCTATTCTCCCCCAATACCAAGTTCTAGCTAAAGCAGATGATTTATAGAGGCTTCTTAAGGCCTCCCTGCAAGAGTTCCTTCATTCTTCCTAAAACTGATTTGACTAATTGTGATTTCCATCCTTCTCTATCTGGCTAACTTCTGTTTCAGTTTCCCTGCTTGGCTTACCACTGGGCAAGGCTGTGGACTGCTTGTGGACTCTCCTGACAGGCATTCCCAGTGTCACCCATCTTAAGAAGGGACAGGTTCATGTACCAGAAACTAGAGATTGTGAAGAGGGCCTGTCACAGAAGATAGGAAACTTCTGGATCTCTGGACCTTGCTAACCACCTCTGGACTTCCCAGAGGCTGAGACACATCTGGGGATGCACAGAGATGATAGGGAAGAGGTTGTCCTATAACTGAGAAGGAAGGTGTCCTTGAATGAGTTCTATCTCATCTAGTTTAACTAGATTATCTAATTGCCTATTTTGTTATTACCTTTCTGCAGTGTTTTGTACAACCTTATTTAAGTATTCCAGGCCAGCTGAGAAACTGTGGTTTGGAGATTTAAGGGATAAATTGAGACCATACTTGAGCCAGAACAATAAAAGAGGTGCAGTGCCTCCCTGAGGCCAGAGTGGTAATGACACCAAAAATTACAGATTTACCCAAAAGGAAACTAGAAATCACTGAAAGCAAACCAAGCACTCTTTTACTCTACATTCATCCTGTAAGGATCTACATTTACTATTGCTAAAGGAATTGAAGGATGTGCATTTACCCCAGCCTCAAACACCCCCAATGCACCCTTTCTACAACTTGCACAACCCATGGCCCACTCAGAGGGATAGACGGATGTATGGATAGATAGCACATTACCATGGTTATATCTATAAATACTTTTTGTTTTTAAAGATAGCAAGCTTCTTACAAAAATATATTTTCTAAATGCATACGTACCCAAATGCTACGTATTTTCTATCCAGATAGGGAGTTGCTTGCAGTGTGATATAGAACTGGGACGCATTGGTATGGTGGCCTTTGTTGACCATTCCAAGAACTCCTCTTTTGTTATGAGGAATTGAAAAGTTTTCGTCTAGGAAAAGACAATAGTCATTAAAATATCTGTATTATTTCAATTGAGTGTAAGATGTGAGGAGCAAACAAACCTTGATAACAAGCTCAGTCATATATAGGAGTATACTTCAAATTGTAAATATTCTATCTGTTTCCTATTACTTCCAATAATTCAAAGGACCTTTTTTAAAAAGTTGGACTGTAAAATCTTTTTTTGTGTTTGTTTTGTTTTTTGAGACAGAGTTTCTGCCCAGGCTAGCTTCAAATCTGTGATCCTCCTGCCTCAGCCTCCTGAGTTGCAGGGATTAAAGGTGCATACCACCACCCCTGGAAAGCTGTAAAATCTTATTTGAACTATTTAAACACTTAACTCAAGTTTACTATAGCTAAAAACAAGTTCAGGAAGAAAATTAACAATGGAAAGGAGGTATATACTTTGTACACAAATGAAGGGCAACAAACTCTCCTGCTGTTTCAGCAGTGGTATTTCATTCAACTATTGATGTAATCTCTAAAAAACACCTGCTTTGGGCTGGGGACATGGCTCAAGGTGTAGAGTACCCACCTAGCAAACTGTTGAGGCTGAGTTCAAACCCTAGCACCACCAAAAAAACCCCCAAACAAATGAAGAAAAAACCTGCTGTGAGAAGTTTTCCTGCAGGCCTGACCGCTCCCCTGCAGCCTCTTACAGCTCTTTGGCAGTCCTGGTACATTCTGTGTAATCATTGGGCCTTTGTGTCATTGAACTTTAGTTCTAGGCCTCCCAGCATATCAACTGACTTAAGTGTGGCCCTATCTGTTGATGAAAAAAATTAATTTATCCTTACTTTTACTGGTCTTCAAATAAATTTAATGTGAAATCTTACATGGATTGACCAAGATATTGTGGAAAATGATAGTTGTTTAGTGCACAGTTAACTAAAAAGAGTTGTACAGAGGTTATCAGGCTACTATTTTCAGGAAGTACCATGCCCGGTTTTGCCTCCAAGTCCAAATACACAGAAAGAAATGATGTGTGAGAAAGAAGTTCAATGAGAGTTTTCACTCAGTAACTTTATAAATTTCTGGGAACAATCGATAAACATGAGTATTAACTGTGAGTAAGAGTTTATTAAACTCTACTTGCTGACAATCATGGTCACCTTTAAATTTCATAACAACGCAAACTTAAGCAATGGAGCCACACTGCTGGCTCATACTTCTCTAGTAAAACTGTACATGGAATGAAGACCTCTGCAATCTTGGGAAAAGCAAATTAGACATTTTTGTACAAACAAATCTATGTAATTGCCTCAATGATCCCAGTTATTTCAGTAAACTATAGAAACGATCCATTAATTTCACAGATCACATGGTATGGAAACATGCCTCATGTAAGACTCAGTGAGTTTACAAAAATGGTATTCATTATTGTTATCAGAGGTTGTGATTAAGTCTCTTAATCATATTCTTTAACAGGAAAGAAAATTTATAGAGTTGTAACATTTTTACTAGAAATGCTGTGATGACAGGAGAACTTTTAAAAGAGTTAATCATAATATTACCAAAATATGCTACCTGTGTGAAAGCCCACATATAAAACAAAATTTTTTTTTTTTTTTGCAGTACTGGGGTTTGAACTCAGGGCCTCATGTTTGCTAGGCAGGTGCTCTATCGCTTGAGCCACTTCACCAGCCCCAGATTTTTTTTTTAAGTCCTATAGTATCCTTGCTTAAAAATACCTCTTCAGGGTCCCAGGAATTCCTTAGATGACAATTTGAATGTCTCCACTATAAAGGGACTAAAGAATGTTTTTAAAAGGTGCAGATAGTTCCTGACTTACAAATTTAATATGTATGGAAAAAATGTGAGAAACTAAATGACTATGTTTTAAGCTGTGTTAAGTACAGAATGCCTACGTGGGTCTTCAGACCCGAAGCTATACTACAGCGACAGCAGAGCCCAGTGGTTGTACCTCAACTGGGCCTTCTTTAATTGCTGAATAAATCAAATGAAACTGTGTGTAAGTGCTGGACCTAGTGCATACACCTATATAGTCTCACCTACTCAGGAGGCTGATTCAGAGGGATGACTTGAGACCTCAAGTTCAAGACCAGTCTGGAAGTGGGTGTGGTGGTACATGTCTGTAATCCCAGTACTCGAGGAGCTAAGGCAAGAGGATCCTGAGTTTGAGGTCAGCCTGGGCTACATAGGGAGAGCCTATTTCATAAAAAAAGAAGGGGGTAGGCTTGTAGCTCAGCTGTAGAGCCCTTGCCTAGCATGAGCAATCACCAAAAAAAAAAAAAAAAAAAGATTGTTTTAAAAATGTTTTAAAAGAAATTATGTGTAACAAAGAACCTATTCACTTTAAATAGCTTTACAGACAAAAATCAGCATTGTCTCCTTGCTCTACCCATGATTGATTGCTTATTTTTTTGTTGTTGGTTTGTTTGTTTTGAGACAAGATCAAGCTACATAACCCAGGCTGGCCTTAAACTCAGGATCCTCTGCCTCCACCTCCTAGGTGCAGGAATTACAGAAGTGCAGTGCCACACCCAGCTTCCTGTCACCTCTTTAAAATTCTCTCCAAATACCCATGGAGCACTAAATGTCAAGAGGCATAATTTAGAAAAATGACTTATTGATATAAAGTTCCCTGTTTTTCCTAATGTGAAGAGTCAGTTGTTGGTACATTTCATTTATCACTTAAAATACTAAATTAAATTGCTTTTCAGTCCCATGACAGAAAGGGGACCCTACGGCAGTCAACAGCACTGTTGGGGGCAGGGTGAACCTATTTGGTTTACCGAAATAGGGCAGAAGCCCAGGTGAGGGTTTTCACCCTGTCTTTGGCGAGTAGATAGTTTGACTTGAGCCCATTGTTCCCTGAGTGTTTTGCCAGTAATAAAGCATGTGGGAACAGACATAAACCCAGACAAATTATCTGAGCAGTAAGAGAGGTTATTTTTTTTTAGGGTTTTAGAAGCTTTGATTTCAAACACAGATTTTCCCCCATTAAAAAAATTAGCAAGTTTATACAATAATTAAATTATATATTCTTTCTTTTTTTCTTTTAAATTCACTATGTTAAACTTAACAAAAGTGAGTTTTGGATGGGTGCCGGTGGCTCACGCCTGTAATCCTTGCTATTCAGGAAGCAGAGATAAGAGGATCATGGTTCGAAGCCAGCTCTGACAAATAGTTCTGTGAGACCGTGTCTTCAAAAAACCCTTCACAATAAAGGTCTGGTGGAATGGCTCAAAGTGTAAGTCCTGAGTTCAAGCCCCAGTACCAAAAAAAAAAAAAAAAGAGTTTTGCCTGACTTTTGTTTGATTTTGGTTGAGACAGGGTCTTGCTATGTAGCCCAGGCCTGGAACACTTGCTCCTCCTCCCTCAGCTGCCCCACTGCTGGTTTAACACCATGCCAGGCATTGTGGCTGTTTTAACAAGCCCTGGTTTTAATTCTGCATTTCCTGGAAAGATGGCCCAATGAGAGAAAGCAGAGGAAGGTGTGGCAATGAAAGGAAGAGAAAGTATTAGCTTTCTCGTCACTGTGACAGAATGCCTGACATAAACAACTTAAAAGGAGGAAAGGTCTATTTCTTTAGCTCACAGTTTTAGAAGTTTCAGTCCATGATGATAAGGAGGGAAGGGTGGAGCAGAGTAGTAGCCACAAAGCACAGAGAGAATGTCTGAACTTTCAGGCTTTATCCTTTTCTCCCTTTTATGCCAGAGGGCCACCCACATTCAGGGCAGGTCTCCCCCTCCTCTCAGAGATGCCAGACGTGGGCTTTACTAATCTAGGTGCTTCTCAATCAAGTTGATAATCTAACTAGCCATCCCAGAGCAGAACACAGCATTAGCTTTATTGAGGACCACACCTCTCTCTCAGCCACTCATCTTTCCCTGGAACATGGCTCCTTTTTACTCGAATGGTTCTAATTCTGTGCTGCCAGACCAACTGAGTCATAAAGGCTTCACTGAACACACAGGGCACCTGTACACGAAACCCTACAATAGCCTGAGGATAGGCGCAGGGGTCATCAGCAGAGACACAGGCTGTCTAGTGGGTCAGGTGAGATCAGCTTCCATGGGCAGAGGGCCCGTGTTCTCACAATCTGACATGGCTGTGGGTAGGAAGGGATGATTCCCATGAGGGGTTGGAGGACAGGTGAGCTTCCAGAAGGGTCTTTTCCCTATGTAGTGTCTTGGTTTTTTGTTTTGTTTTTTTGGTGATGGTACTGGAGTTTAAATTCAGGGCCTTGAGCTTGGTAGGCAAGAGCTCTACTGTTTGAGCCATGTCCCCAGTCCTACATGTCTTATTTTAAGACCCAATTCATTCTGTGACACTGCCCAACAATCCCAGGCAGCTGTTCTTTCTTTTCCTACAGCCTTCAGTGCTCTCCTCCCAAAGTAGCTGTCTCTCTGTGTGAATACAGTGATACACCGGAGTCCTTCATGGCTGTTTCTTTAGTCCTAGCACCATGCAGGCATCTACCTAGGAATTCATCATTCTGTGAATGAATAAATGAATGTTGTTACTACGGCATGCTTTCATTTGATAAAGCTGTCTCTACACAAATGTAGAAAGAAACCAGCCATTATTTTTTCCTTTCACTTTAGCTATTGGTTAAGTTGGTTTTTTTGTTTTTTTTTTCTGATGGTCCTGGGGTTTGAACTCAGGGCCTCAGGCTTACTAGGCAGGTGCTCTACCACTTGAGCCATTCTGCCAGTCCTCCCAAAGATTATTTTAACCTTTTCATAATATTACAATACAGACACAAAAAGTCATGGAAAAATTTTTAGTTAGAGTTGTTGTAAGGCTGTGGCTGAGAAAAAGAACTTTGAAAATTTCCTGTCAAGCACCTCTTTCACCTAAGTATCCATTCCCCAGAATTTGATATAATCATTTCCTTATACAGTTTTTTAAATTATTCAGCGTGCACCCCTAGGCACTAGAATATGTTCTTTCCCATTATAAGTCTTGTCAGGATGGGGATGAAACTCAGTGGCAGAACACTAACCTAGCATTCAAAAGGTTCTGGGTTTGAGTCCCAGCACCACGAAAACAAAACCAAAACTTGTTATGCATGTTTTGTTGGTGGTAGTTTGGTTGGTTTTGGTAGTACTGGTCTCACACTTGCTAGGCAGGTGCTCTGCCTCGAGCTACCCCATTAGCCCTTTTGTAATGTGTATTGAATATATTCAAGATAAGGTCTCAAGAACTATTTGCCTGGGCTGGCTTCAAACTGTGATCTTCCTGATCTCTGCCTCCTTATATGCATGGGTCACAGGGTCTACCCTTGTTATATGTTTTAAGTCTCTTCTTTTCTTTTCCGCTTTTTTTTTTTTTTTTTTGGCAGTATTTGGGCCTGAACTCAGGGCCTTCACCTTGAGCCATTCCACCAGTCCCTTTTTTGTAATTGGTTTTTTCCAGATATGGTCTTGAGAACTATTTGCTTGAGCTGGCTTTGAACCATGATCCTCCTGATCTCTGCCTCCTGAGTAGTTAGGATTACAGGTTCTACCTCCATCCCTGCTGTTTCCCCACACTTTATCTATTAATGAACGTTGGTTGTATAACTGCTGTATTATCTCCCTATCTCATTTGCTGGTTCACACACATGGTACATTGCTATAGTTTGGACCAGAAATGTCCTGCAAGGCCCATATATTCTTTTTCTTCTCTTTTGGTGGTACCGGAGTTTGAACTCACAGATTTGCACTTGCTAGGCAGGTGCTCTATTGCTTGAGCCACGCTTACAGCTCAAAGGTCCATGTGTTGAAAACTTGGTCCAGCCTATGGTGTAATTGGGAGGTAACAGAACCTTTAAGAGATGGGACCTAGTTGGAGGAAATTAGGTCACTGGGGTGTGCCCTCAAAAGGGATTTTGGAACCCTGGCCCCTTTCTCTCTGTCTCTGTGTGCCTTTCTCTTTTTTCCTTCTTCTTCTTCCTCCTTCTCTTCTTCTCCTTCTTGTCTTTCCTCTCTGTGTCTCTGTCTTTTCTCTGCTCTCCTTTCCTCCCCCTCCTCCCCTTCTCTCTCTCTCTCTCTCTTCCCAGTTGACATGAGGTGAACAGCTTTGCTTTGCTGCAGGCTCAAAAGCAACAGGTCAAGTCACCATGAACTGAAACCTTTGAAACTGTGAGCCAAACGTGAGTTGATTATCTCAGGTATTTTTCTCACAATGACTAAAACCTGACTAAGATAAACTTATTTCTCTGTCTTCTGCCCTATCAGTTCTGCTGTAATACTGATTTTGAAATGTAAATTTATTTCAATTTAATTTGATGCATCAGGGAATGACTTGATCACTTATGAATTTCACCCCTGCTTATATGCTTCCCCTTGAGAAACACTAAGTAAATAAAAACCTCACCCATCTTTGTGGAGTCACACAGGAATACATGCACACCTCAGTCATCTACTGGCTATGTCAGGTTCCACATAGGAACACATATGCTGTAGTCATCTACCAGATACCTTATGTGATGTTAGGAGCCCCACCCCCACACATCTGACGTTCTGATTTCTGAATACCTCCTTCCACCTCTTCTAAATCACCTGAACCCTTCCACCCATCCCGCACCCATATCCACACAAAAAACTTCAGAACTTTTTCAAGGTAAAATCCTGTATTTATTATAGTATTTTTCTTGATCCTTTAACATAGATAAAACTGCTACTTTTTAAAAGATTACTATCTTATTTTTATTGTGTAACCGATGAACTTTTTCAAACCTCATTTTTGCCATAAACTGTATGGTTTTTATCGCATGATATTGCACAGTGCAGAGATTTCTTTGGAGCTCATATGTCACATTTCAATGGAACTGACTACGGCTGGGTCCGGAGGCTTAGTCACGTTCCACCCCGATTGTGCCTTCTTTCAACAGAAGGTACAGAATTTCCACTGACTCTGCCTTTGGGAGGTGAGCGGGTATCAATGTGGCAAAAGTCTATACCCATTATTTCACTATGGGCAGCAAACAGTCCAGCTCTATTATTTCCTTTCCACTTTTATAAAGAAATGTCCTCTTTATCTACAATTTTGTACAGTTCATATAGGAAAGGCAGCATAAATGCTTGGTTCTTCCCAAATGTACCAGTTTTTGAGATAATCAGTTCTTCTCCTATTGTTCCCACCAAAGAAAACCAATTAGGCTTTATTCTGAAATATAATATCATTATGAACTCATGGATATAAAATATTTGCTGGGGTCAAATCAATGGCAATTACTATTGTTTCTGAAGCTCAAATTACTCCATCTGTGGCCAGTGGGAGCATCTTCAAATTGCCTTGTGGGGCCTTTGCCACGATCCTCGTAATCTTTAAGAGCACTACTGTTATCTGAGGTAGCTAACACATTGGGATTCATCCTAAAGAAATAATTAGGCAAGCAAAAAAATGTGTGTACAAAGCTGTTCTGGACTGGACCACAGTGGCTTGCCCCATCATCTACCTCCCACTTTTACTCTATGTAATACTCCCATACTACCTTATTTGTTGTGAAACATCCAATTGTCTTAAATTGGAATAATTAACTGATACATGAATGACAAAATTTAAGGATACATACCTTCAAATGTTGATCCATAAATAGACTCTCCATCATCTCCTTTTCCACCTACTATATCTGAGAAATAACGATAAAATAATTCTGAGGCTAAAAAAAGTGTTAAGAGTACAGAAATGAGGGGAAAATGCTTTAAATTATGATTCCATTTATGCCAGTTTCCATAGTAAGTCATCTAATTGCTTAATATCTGTACCATGAAAATATTACTACTATAATTTTGCTTGTATTTTATAATCATTTTTATTCCTATGATTCCATTTTGTTCTATGAGAACTCCCTGGGGTAGCTTAAACTATAATGCAAAAGCTATGATATAATGGCATATTAAATTATTACTGTGGACATAACTTAGAGAAAGTGCTCATATAAATTCTGCCTACTTCACAAGTTATTTCATAGTCCCTCTTGCTTTTCAGAGAAATTGAAAGATTAAATTGAGAAGATGAAATGGGAAAGAGTAAGTTCTTTTTAGAATGTGCTAAAGATAGGTTCTGTAAAAAGAATTCACGTTCCAACTTTCATTCCTGTAGTTACCCTGGGTAGGTGGCGTAGCCAAGTGTTAGAGTGCTTGCCTGGCCCTGGGTCGTCTGATCCTCAGTACTACAAAAAATAAAAATATAGTTTACTCTATTTATACAGTATTTTGGGAGAGAAATTCCGTGTGATGTAAATGAGGGTTTTTAGGTGTTTATATGATGTGCATATTTTGGCTTAGGCAATGTTCAAACTTAAAAAACAAAAAGACTCTAGACACAAGTTATTTAAAAGGGGAGCAGGTCTGCCGTCTGTACCCCAGCCTCTCATCAGTATCACTCTACTTCCTTTAGCTGTCTCATCCAATCCTTCCTGTACAGAAGTGTACAATAAATATTTGAAGGACTATCTTTTCTTTTTAACAAATGTGAGCAGTCTATCCATAATAAAAATGTACCATTTAAAAAAGGCTATGATACAATGGTAAGCACGTGGAGAGAGTTTACCTGGGAAAAGGCATGTAGCATTTAAATTGTGCTATTCCTAAAGCTGTCAGAAGTTAATTGATGAGCCTTATGGCTGCAATCCCAGTCAGCCTAGCAGTGCAGATGGATGCGGCAATGGCTAATGGCTAAATCTGGAAATAGGAAAGTGGAGGCTCCCCTAGCACCAGTTCCTTCGAATCTTAGTGTCTGCTTTGCTCAGGAAAATCTGTCCAGGTGGTTGCTCTGCCCCTAACTTACCTAAGGTCAGTCAACTTCCTATCTATTCTGTCACCACCATTCTTCTTGTCCTCTGCATGGATTCTCCCCAATGAGTATTTTAATACCGACACCATTTCAATCAGTATTTGCTATCATTTTTTGTGGCCATAACCTACATCTTGAATTCAGCCTTGTATATCTGATGCCATTTCTGTATCTCTGGGAACAAACTGGGAGATGCTGAAAAGTGGTTGAAAGCAAATTTAAAGTCAGATGATTTTGATATAAATCTTGATGTTATTTTCTTTTTCCAAGCCTGTTTCCTCACGTGCAGTTGTAAACAGAGTGGTCAGGTAAGTCCTTGCTGAGATGCACTCTGGGCAAAAACCAGACAGCCAGGCCCCAATGGCTCACGCCTATAATGCTAGCTACTCAGGAGGCAGAGATCAGGAGGATCAAGGTTCAAAGCTGGCCCAGGCAAATAGTTTACAAGACCCTATCTGGGAGATTCCAAGATGGCAGCTAGAGGGAGGAAGCAGAAAGCGTGCCTCCTATAGTGAAATTTGGAGAGACGCTGGAGAAACATCTTGCAGGCAAAACCACCAAGAAGAGGCAAAACATTGACCCCTCCACACATCCAGCCAGTGCAGAGCATCTCCACTTCACGTCAAATGGAGAAACCAGGGGGGCCCTCAGGCCACCAGTCGCCCACGCCCAGATGGCTTAGGAAGACACGGACAAGCTTACTGTCGATTAGTACACCAACGCTCCCTGTTTATACCTTTGAAACTTTTTTGTTTGATTCCTTGTCTTGTTTTTTCCTACTTGTCTGTTTATTTGTTTTTCCCTTTTTTCTTTAACTTCTTGCTTTCCATCTCCTCTCACCCTTCCATTCTAAATATTACCATTGTTATTATTACAAGCTAGAAAATACTTAATTGCACACAGTACAGGGACAGTAACAACACCAAGGACAATGACGGGAAGACAGAAAAAACAGGGAAACCAGTTTCCCCACAGCAAAAAATTAGTACAGGAACCAGAGGGAAATGAAGAAAACAGATACTCAAATCCAGACTCCAACAAAATGAAGATAAACTATGCCAAAGGACCCAATGAAGCCCACAAGAATAATTTAAAAGAAGACATACTACAGGTACTCAATGAGAATTTTATAGAGATGATACTGGATAGGGTCAAATAAAATGTACAGGAGACATTCAAGAAATTCCAAGACAACAAAAATAGAGAATTTGAAAAAGCAAAAGAAGAAATAAAGGAAACCATAGAAGCACTGTATAAACACCAAAGTGAAACACCAAACACAATTAATAAACAGATAAATGAACTCAGGACAAAAATAGACAACATTAAAGAGGAAACCACCCAGGATATGGAAAACCTCATTGAAGATGAAATGGTAATTAAAGGAAAAACTGAAGAACTATTAATTAAACAACTCAAGACCTGTGAAACGAAAATGCAAGAACTCACTGACTCCATCAAAAGACCAAACTTGAGAATCATGGGCATCGAAGAAGGAGAAGAGGTGCAAGCGAAGGGAATGCATAATATATTCAACAAAATAATTACAGAAAATTTCCCAAATCTAGAGAAAGATATTCCCATACAGATGCAAGAGGCCTCCAGGACACCAAACAGACCAGATCAAAATAGAACTACCCCACAACATAGCATCATTAAAACAATAAGTTCAGAAACTAAGGAAAGAATGCTGAAGGTTGTAAGAGAGAAAAAACAAATAACATACAAAGGTATGTTAAAAGCTCTCAACAGAAACATTAAAAGCAAGAAGAGCGGAGGGGTGAGATCTTCTGGGCACTGAATGAAAATAACTTCAACCCCAGGATACTCTACCCAGCAAAACTATCATTCAAAATAGATGGAGCAATAAAAGTCTTCCATGATAAGCAGAAACTAAAACAATATGTGACCACAAAGCCACCACTACAAAAGATTCTTTAAGGGATTCTACACACAGAAAGTGAAACCCAACTTAACCATGAAAGACAGGCAGCACCAAACCACAGGAAAAGAAAAAGCAAAAAGTAGAGAGTAACTCAACTTAGGTACACACAATCAAACCTTCAAACAACTAAGACAACTAAATGACAGGAATCACCACATACCTATCAGTACTAACACTTAATGTTAATGGACTTAATTCACCCATCAAAAGGCACGCTTGACGAAATGGATTAAAAAGGAAGATCCAACAATTTGTTGCTTACAGGAGACCCATCTCACGACAGAAATAAGCATAGGCTTAGGATGAAAGGCTGGAAGAAGATTTACCAAGCCAATGGCCCCCGAAAACAGGCAGGAGTAGCAATACTTATCTCTGACAAAGTAGACTTCAAACCTACATTGATCAAATGAGATAAAGAAGGACATTCCATACTAATAAAAGGGGAAATAGACCAAAAGGAAATAATAATTATCAACCTGTATGCACCCAATGTCAACGCACCCAATTTCATCAAACATACCCTGAAAGACCTAAAAGCATATATAACTCCAACACAGTGGTTGTGGGAGACTTTAACACCCATTATCATCAATAGATAGGTCATCCAAACAAAAAATCAATAAAGAAATCCAAGATCTAAAATATACAATAGATCAAATGGACCTACTTGATGTCTACAGAACATTTCATCCAACTTCTACACAATATACATTCTTCTCAGCAGCCCATGGAACCTTCTCCAAAATAGATCATATCCTAGGGCACAAAGCAAGCCTCAGCAAATATAAGAAAATAGAAATTATACCATGCATACTATCTGATCACAATGCAGTAAAAGTAGAACTCAACAACAAAAGTAAAGACAAAAACATGCAAACAGCTGGAAACTAAATAACTCATTACTTAATGAACAATGGTCATTGATGAAATAAAAGAGGAAATTAAAAAGTTCCTGGAAGTCAATGAAAATGAAAACACAACCTACCAGAACCTATGGGACACAGCAAAGGCAGTCCTGAGAGGAAAGTTTATAGCCATGAGTGCATATATTAAAAGACTGAAAGATCCCAAATCAATGACCTAATGATACATCTCAAACTCCTAGAAAAACAAGAACAAGCAAATCCCAAAACAAATAGAAGGAAGAAATAATAAAAATAAGAGCTGAAATCAATGAAATAGAAACCAAAAAAACCATACAAAGAATTAATGAAACAAAAAGTTGGTTCTTTGAAAAAATAAACAAGATCACAGACCCCTGGCAAACCTGACTAAAATGAGGAGAGAAAAAACCCAAATTAGTAGAATCAGGAATGCAAAAGGGAGATAACAACAAACACCATGGAAGTCCAGGAAATCATCAGAGACTACTTTGAGAACCTATATTCAAATAAATTTGAAAATCTTAAAGAAATGGACAGATTTCTAGATACATATGATCATCCAAAACTGAACCAAGAGGAAATTAATCACCTGAATAGATCTATAACACAAAATGAAATTGAAGCAGCAATCAAGAGTCTCCCAAAAGAAAAGTCCAGGACCTGATGGATTCTCTGCTGAATTCTATCAGACCTTTAAAGAAGAACTGATACCAACCCTCCTTAAACTGTTCCACGAAATAGAAAGGGAAGGAAAACTGCCAAACACATTTTATGAAGCCAGTATTACACTTATCCCAAAACCAGGCAAAGACACCTCCAAAAAGGAGAACTATAGGCCAATCTCCTTAATGAACATTGATGCAAAAATCCTCAACAAAATAATGGCAAACCAATTCAACAACACATCAAAAAGATTATTCACCACGACAAGTAGGCTTCATCCCAGGATGCAGGGGTGGTTCAACATATGAAAATCAATAAACGTAATAAACCACATTAACAGAA